TTCTCATAAAAAGTATAGGACCCTCTGTATTTTAGTTTCAATCGACTCCATGATAGTTTCACTCAATGTGAAATTTACCATAGTCAGACAGTACCAAATCTTCTCTCGTCACCTAGATTAGATATGTACGAAAGAAATGAAAAGGAGAAAATTATGGAGAGAATATTTGAGGATAGGATATGGTTGGCTGAGATGGAAATTTCGGATGGCATGTCAAATTCAGCGGCTTCTCTTTTTTGCTTTTTTTGCATCGACTATTTTCGTTGAATTTTAGTGCTGCTTCGTTTTCATTGAGTAATAATAATGTAGTTAACATGGCATGTCTCCGTGTCTTCTGTTAAGCTAAAATCTAAAAGTGCCTCTCTGAGTGCTCTTTTCACATTCATACAAAGTGCTTATTCTACGTTCGTGAATCGTGAGCTAGTAAAACAAAACCTTACGTGCTGCTTTGAGCGCTTTTTTCACTTTCGAACAAAGTGCTTATTCTACCTTTGTGAAAAGTGAGTTAGTAAAACAAAACCTAAAAGTGCTTCTTTGAGTGCCTTTTTTTCACATTCGTGCAAGTGCTTACTCTAACTCTGTGAATTATGAGCTAGTAAAACAAGTAAACAGAAGAAAATTACATAGCAAAGTAAGTCCTAAGTGATGAATTTACTACTGCACAGCTACTGCGATAATCGTTAAGAAATTCGAACCAAAATACATTTATAAGCTCGTCGACGAACAAGATATAACCGAGTCATTTGACGACGAGAATGAACACAGCCTAAGGTAAAAAAAGTATAATTAACAGAGTATGCACATAGCTTTTCCCTTTTGGGAATAAAGGAAAACAATGGCAAAATCTTTGCAAACATTTACAGTATCTATATTTTCCTCCGTTACTAATTATTCGTAGGCTTTGTGGGACTTTTGACATTGCAACACATTCGCAAAATGCCATCTAAGTAGAAAAATTGAAATGTTTCTGCCCTATGTTTAGTTAACTAACCAAGACCATATCTTCACCCGCATTTGCCGCCACTGCTTCTATTCTCTTCCAAGTCAACTCCCGCTGCTCTTCCTGTTCTCTAGTTCTGGTTTCTTTCTCAAAGTACTGCTTCTGGCAGTCTTCAAACAATTCTGCATCCATTTCCTGGAACATCCTTCGGACGTTTCCTGTCAATCCATGGATCGCTTGGTTCCAGTGACCTTGCGTATTCTTCTCTAACGCTTCAAAGACTAATGGTAATATCACATTCCGGTTCTGAGAAATTAAAGTTACAATGTGCTCACTGTTCCACAAGTAAAGAGCCCGTTCGGCAACCTGCCACACATCCTTATGTCACAAGCACTTTTCAAATAGAATATTCGTACAACAAACCAGATACACTTTTCAATTTAGCTTTCTTCTTCATTGCCAAGAAGATAATTTGTTGTGCGTGGTAGCAAGTAAGATGCATGTACCAATCGATTCCAACACATAATAAGTAGTAATACAGAAACACAATATCTTTATCAATTAAGGAGGAGAGAAAACGTGAAACTATAGACACTGCCTGGCTGATATGAAAACTATGGACCAAGCAAATGTATTTGCTGGCTAGCCCGTCCTTGACCCGCTTTGGGAACAACAGTTCTTGATTAAACAAAGCACTCTAAGTTTTAATGGAAGCTTTAGATTCAAACCCATCATCCTTCAACAACCTATAAATAGTACCCTTACAATCCCTTAGAAAAAAAACCCATTTTATTATTAGAAGGGCCCAAACATGATAAAAAGTTCATACAAAGACTGGAAAATTACAAGCATGGCACCATATTTAAAATAAAGCCCAAGGCCCCCACATCTTAAAAAACCAAATTAAAAAAGAAAGAAAGATAAATAGCTTCGGGTTAATTGCTTATGGCCTTATGACAATAGAATTCTAGAACCTAAACGGAAAACACCCGGCCAAAATATTATGATTTTTCTCATAAAACCCCTATAATCATTAGAGAAAAGCACAAAAACAATTTCACTCTAAAATCTAGTTAGAGTTAGTATGGGTTTTTTTCCCTCCACTATGAGTCTCCACGGGGTTTTCTATAAAAGGTGTTGTGGGGATGGTAGTTTTATTAATACGTAATTCATAATCCACGATGTGATGCCCTGTTCATTACCATTTTTACACACTGCACTTCCAGATGGATGTAAACGAAAAAGATAACTTGTATTTCTTTTAAAAAGACTAGCCACATGGTGATATTTCTTCAAAGAACCTCTCCTATACTAACTAAATTTCCTGACAGCATAACTTATTATAAATAGTTCTTGTATGTTGCAGAGGTGAATCATCAACCACTACAAGAAGGGGACACGAGGGGATGTTACTATCTAACACTGGCAGCAAGCTACACACAACTATGTATAGACACCCAAAACCTGTTCCAAAAGAGCGGCAGAGGTGTATCATAAGAAATTTCAACACTATTCGAGATGACCAACTTGGAATCACATACACATCTAAGGTATTGGTTACTCATATAGCTATATATTCTTTACAAACAAGTTAAATAACACTTAGAATCATTTTCATTAGGTTTAACTGTTTAAGCAGTCTCGGTTGACAATGGAAAGAGGGAAAGAAAGCCCTCAAAGTAACACTAATCATTATACAATAAACAGTTAATTCCCTTCAACTTATTAACCTTTTTTGTTTTTTTTTTTTTTTTTGATAAGAACTTACTAACTTATTTCTGAGTGTCTGATCTAACAAAACTAATGATGCATTTTTATCACATATTCGTTTATATCAACAACAATGTTCCAAAAATCACTTAAGAAAATAATAAGATGAGCAATCCAAAACCAAAATACACCTAAAGATAAAGATGTCCTTCAAAAGAAAAATCAATTAAACGGTATCTACCATGCTACTTGTACCAAAGAAAAGAAAAAAACAGTCTCTTTTTCGTTCACCTGGAAATGAGGGCTATTAAGGCAGCGTCCAATCTGTCCAAAAAGCGGAAGCATACATCTTTGAAACTCCGTGGCCTGTGTAGCCTCCAAAACATCTTCCAACTCTGCGAGAAACAGAACCTCCTTTTGACAATTGGTGACCGGCCAGAACTTCAATAACCCCTTGATCACTGGTTCGGCCAACTGAGAATCCTTGTCTACAAACTGTATGATACAATAGGCCAACTGGTAATGATACGCCGATATGGATTTGGGTTTGTGCAGCGGAATAAGTGCCCTCGCTAGGAACAACTTATGCTCCTCTTTCATGGGCAAAGCAAATCCATTTATTATACTCCCTAGAATCTCCAAAAACTCACCAATCCCACAATGCCTCTGTGTCTCGAATATAAACCTATAAAACACATTGTTCATGGCCTTCCTAATAAACGGTCTATGAACCATGAACTTCCCATAAATTCTATGCAAAAGGGTTTTCAAATACTCGCGTTCCCGGGGATCCTCCGAATCGAACAACTCCATTAACCTCAGCACAAATATATAATCAATGTAACGCTTGGCAACTTTAGCATCGGTTTCAGGGGAGGCAATGTACCTTAACAAAAGTTCATAGACAATTTGGAGGTGGGGCCAGGAGGGTTCCTGATAAGGTTCCTCGTCCGGTTCGATTAGGTCCGATGACGGCGGCAGGCACCGGAAGATGTTGATTGACACCATGCGGATGAGCTCCTCTTGCATTGGACCGGTGAGCTTGAGCGAACGGGAGTCGATGAAGTCGACAAGCTCCATTAGGGTTTGGCGCTTGAGCTCCTTCTCCCCAGCAGATTTGAGGGAACTGGAGAAGTCGCAGTAGAAAGAGCAGAGCTGGAGCTTTTTGAGGAGGAGGGCCGGGCGGTCCGAGACGGCGGCGTCGAGGAGGAGAGGGAGGGTTTCCATGAGAGGGGAGAGAGTGACGAGTCGTGACTCGGGGTCGAACTCGGGATCGGTGGAATCGGGTTTTGGGGATTTGCGGTGGCCGCGTTTTATGATTTTGGTGAGCATTTTTTATTTTATTGGGATTTTTGGGAAGGGATAAGGACGACCTAGGAGACTGGAATGGAGAGGAAAGTTAGGGTTTTTGGGAGGGGATGAGGAGGGATTTGGGGGAAGAGGGATTGGAAATCATTTCGGTGTTTGGGAGGTGGGAAAATTTACAGAGAAAGTGCGGGAAAGTTTTGAGTGGAGTTTGTGCGATTGAGGAAGTAGTTTATGGTCACCCTTGCTGGAACTGGGGGAGTAGAGCTCGAGCTCGACCATAAATGGAATGTTTTTTTTATTCTCTCTCCCCCACTTGAGCATGCAAGTATGGTCGACGCGTACAAATTTTTTACCATGCTCCGGTCTGCAGCATGCAGTAGAATAATGGACGGTTGAATGTGCGGTTAAAGATTTAATTGTTAATGATGTAGCTATTAAGAATCTCGATGTTCACTGTACTCTTGTACTCTGGTGTATACTAGAAAAACTTATGGGCGTAAAATGAATTCATTTGAACTTGCATGCTCTTGTTAAATTGTCTTGAATTTAGGAATGGCATGAGCATGAAACTTGTTTTATGTATTGGAGTAACATGATCGTATGATCGTATCCAGGATTCGATTTTTGTAAGTGTTTCTTTAGAAGTTGAATCTCTCAAACATTTTAAAACGAACTCATTAAAAGTGAAAGTCTTAACTGATAGATTAGAACATGTCATCATATTTATATGTACGTAATGAGAATAGAGAGATTCCGTCTTATCACTCAGTGTATTCATGTGAAGAGAGAACACATGAGAGACACTGATACCGTAATATACACGCTTGAGATCAAGAAAGGACAATTATTTATATCAAAATTAAGAGATCAGGAGAGGAGAATTACTTGTATCAAAATTAAGAATAGGGTGACGACTTTGACACTTCAATAGCACCAGAAAACATCCTCGAAGAGTGAGGGGTGATAGTTGGAGTGCGAAAATCATTTCCCGCAAAAATTTTGAAAGCGCATTTGTGAAGAATAAGAGAGTGGGAGACAAAACTTGTCAAACAGATACAGAAACTTTTCAATGAGGAGCAGAGATTCACATTTTTCTGCCAAAATACTAAATCCTCACTAATAACTTAAAAATAAGAAGAAAAGAAAAGTGAAATTAAATCATCAAAAGACATCGTCATCGATTCATGTTTCGACAGATTGGAAGCAACAGAGATGACCCACAAAACCAACATCCAAGATTCTTAAAAGAGTACTGTTTGATTCATAGAAAGACCAGACTAAATTAAGCAAAAACTAACAGACCAGCAGTAGGAGAGGACAGTAAGGGTGAAGTTGCTGGTTTAACCACTGTTCGGGCACTCCCTTGCGAAATGGCCAGACTGTCCGCACTTGTAGCAGCCACCGCCTCCACCACTGCCACGGCCACCACCTCCGCCACTGCCACGGCCACCACCACCATAGCCTCCACCGCCCTGGGAGCAGTCCCTCGCCATGTGCCCTGACTCACCACACTTGTAGCAAGCACCACTGCTACCGCCTCCACCGCCTTGGGGGCACTCCCTTGCCATATGCCCAGACTCGCCACACTTGAAGCAAGCACCACCACCGCCGACCTCCACCGCTACGGCTGCCACCACCATAGCTTCCACCGCCCTGGGAGCAGTCCCTCGCCATGTGCCCAGACTCACCACACTTGTAGCAAGCACCGCCTCCACCGCCTCCACCGCCCTGGGGGCACTCCCTTGACATGTGCCCGGACTCACCACACTTGAAGCAAGCACCACCTTTACTGCCGCCGCCGCCGCCCTTGGGGCACTCCCTTGACATGTGCCCGGACTCACCACACTTGAAGCAAGCACCACCTTTACCACCTCCACCACCCTGTGGGCACTCCCTCGACATGTGTCCAGACTCACCACACTTGAAGCAAGCACCACCTTTACCGCCTCCACCGCCCTGAGGGCACTCCCGCGACATGTGCCCGGACTCACCACACTTGAAGCAAGCACCACCTTTACCACCTCCACCACCCTGGGGGCACTCCCTCGACATGTGCCCAGATTCACCACATTTGAAGCAAGCACCACTGCTCCCGCCTCCACCTCTACCCCCAAAACCCCCTCTACGCCCACCATCTCCAAAACCTCCTCTGTCACCATCTCTATCACCGCCTCTACCTCCAAAACCACGTCCACCTCTCCAATTCCCACCACTTGAATCCTCAGGCTGGTCTCCATTCCCACCATCTGTTGAATTCCAACTGCTTTTACTGCCCCAACCAGATTTCTGATCTGCATCACCAGAGCCTGAGTTCCAACTACTTTTTTTGCCCCAAGTTGAATCCTGGTTCCCACCGGTGTCATCAGATCCAGATTTCCAATCACTTTTCTTCCCCCAACTGGACTCTTGATTGCCACCAGTCTCACTAGATTGAGAATTCCAAGTACTCTTCTTCCCCCGACTAGAATCAAGATTTCCTCCAGTGTCGTCAGATCCAGAGTTCGAGTTGATTATCTTGCCCCAAGTAGAATCCTGGTTCCCACCTGAGGAAGCAGATCTGATGTTCCCATCGCTTTTCTTACCCCAACCAGATTCTTGACTGCCACCAGTCTCACTAGATCCTGAGTTCCAATTGCCCTTCTGGCCCCATTTAGAAACCTGATCTCCCCCTCCGCCACTTGACCCACCTTGCCAAGCTTTAGTTTGACCCCAGCCTGATGATTGATCTCCCCCTCCACCACTTTGTTGTTCATTGGCAGTAGATCCTTTGCCCCACTTGCCTCCATTGTTCCCCACTCCAGCAGCGGTTGCATCAGCTTGTTTACCCCATGAAGACCCTCCAGTTTGTTTACCCCATGAAGAATCTCCAGCTGGCTTACCCCAAGAAGAACTGCCATCTTGTTTACTCTCGGTTGAACCACCACCTGCCTTACCCCAGCTTCCAGTCTGAACATTTTCAGCAGGCGTTGAGCTTTTCCACCCTGCATCGCCAACAGTTGGTTCATCTTTACTGCTCCAGTTCCCTGTGGCTTTATTCTGAGGCTTACCCCAAGCAGGCCCATCACTACCGACTGCATTTCCTTTGTCCCAAGATTTCTGTTGAGCCCACCCAGGGCTTGAAATATCACCAGATGGTGCATCAGACTTCTTTCCCCATGCACCCGCATCAACAACATTTTTACCTTTGCCCCATGAATCCAGTTGACCCGTCCCAGCAGGTTCAGCCTTCTGCCCCCAAGAGTCACTTTTTCCCCAGCCAGCACCTTGGTCATTGCTATCTGGGGCACCGCTGTCACCCCCAGTTTTAGCACTTGATTTCCCCCAAGAGTCGCTTTTTCCCCAACCAACGCCTTGATCATTGTTATCTGCTGGTGCACTGCTGCCACCCCCAGTTTTAGCACTTGATTTTCCCCAAGTATCGCTTTTTCCCCAGCCAGCACCTTGATCATTGTTATCTGGTGCACTACTGTCACCCCCAGCTTTAGCACTTGATTTTCCCCAAGTGCTGCTTTTTCCCCAGCTAGCACCTTGATCACTGTTATCTGGTGCACTACTATCACCCTCAGTTTTAGAACTTGATTTTCCCCAAGCATCACTTTTTCCCCAGCCAGCACCTTGATCATTGTTATCCGCTGTTGGTGCTGCTGCTGCACCCCAGGATGAAGCTGTACTTGGAGCCGCTTTGCTCCCCCAAGAAGTATCATCATCTACAAGTTATGAAAAGAAAATAAACGAAGCAGCTTTGCCAAAAAAAGCATTGATCATCAAAGACGTTGATATCATTAAACTTCAGAACCGAACATACCTTTTTTAACAAGATTTGCACTAGCCCAAGAGTTACTGCAAGAAAGTGGTCATAAGCATCAGATTATACACAAAGGAATTTGGTAAAAAAAAGCATCAAATAAACAAATAGAAAAACTACGTCTTGTACAACATAAAATGAATTTCTGTCGGATTACCTTTCACCAGATGCTCCTCCAGCATTCCACCCACCACCCCCGGCTGATGCCCCTCCAGCATTCCACCCATCACCCCCAGCAGATGCCCCAGCTCCATTTGTCCAGTCTTCAAATATAACAAGCACCACAGGTCAGATTTTTAAAGGTCAAAAACAACATATACTGCATAGTTGCATACAAAAGTGATCCCCTTTCCAGCTATGTGGCATGTTATGTTGAGTTGACTAGATTTAAGTATGGAATAAAGGTAGAAATTGCTTCCAGAAGATGCATACCATTTGAGCCTCCTTCAGTTCCGAGCAAATCAAATGGTTTTAAACTGGACTCCGGGTCCTCACTTTACAGAGAAAGAGACATTAGCACACTTAGAAAATACAATTAAGTATGAAAAGCTTGGCATAAATGATTAATTGACTAAATATAATTACCCAATCAGCACATTAGAGCTCTTTCCACGAACTTCAGAAATATGCTCTTTTGTAACTGCATAACAATGAAACAACAAACTTATGACAGCCGTAGAATTGCATTCAATGATCAAGCAACCTAAACTCCCTGCAGTAATCAAAATGATATTGACCAACCTGTAAGAACCTTTTGCTGAGAATCAAGCTTAACAGTAATATCAGCGCGGCGTATAGCCAAGATGCGACAGAGGTATCCCTTCAATGGACCCACACGGATTCTTACAGTTTGACCAATTGAGAACATTCCATCTTTATCACCCTGACTGACTGCATTAAATAATTAATCAGCAGGAGGCAGAATACTTGATATTAACAATTGAAAACTTAAATCACAGCACTAGCACTCATACTTACAGTTACTATCCCTTTCTTGCCATGGCTTTTTTGGCGAAAGCGGGGATTTAGGAGATGACATGAAATCTCCAAAACCCAGAGCACCTGAATCCCCATCCTGAATGAGGAAGAAATATCATTACCAACGCCTTCATGCTAAAATGTAATATACCGTACACTCAAAGAACAAAAGAAAAAAGCTTCCTACCTTTTCTTTGCAAGAATCAATGTAAAGCTTAACTTTCTCACACATTTGGGATTTTGAGCAAAAATAACCACCATTTTCTGTCTCGTTCTCATCATACAAGAATATGGTGCCTCTATAGATTTGCTTAACAATACCCTGCCTACCCTGCAAAATTGGGACAAACTAGTGTAAATATTCCAGACTATGGAGCCATATGTACCTCAGTAAACTAATTTTTTTACGTTCTAAGATAAATGATCTCAAGTTAGTGCCAAACCTCCAAAGGTCCTTCCAACACTTTGACAGTATCACTAACGCATATGGCCTTCATGTGCCGATCTAATGCCGTAAATTTCATATCAGAAAGAACATTCTTTAACTCACGCTTCTGAACCATCAGCACAATAGGTCCTTCCACCCCCTCTTTCAGAATCTAGGACACACATCACAGAGTGTTAGTAGCCTTTTAAATCATCTGAGAAAACAAACTAGATTTTGTACCTTGTAGCTATCATCTTTCTCCATGCCTATTACAAGACCAAAATCTTTCCGGCTGCAATAGAAAATAAGACCAGTAAAAATCATTTCAATGTACATAAGCAGTTCATGGAGGATCACCAAGGCCACATAAGTTCGTACAGGACTCACCCAAAACAAACAAGATCATACAGTTCAAAGCCATTCCCACTGGACACTGAAGAACCCTTTCCTTTCCCCATAGACGCTGATGAGTCCTCAGCCTTTCCCATAGAACCTGATGAACCCTCTCCTTTTCCCTTAGACCCAGATGAACCCTCTCCTTTCCCCATAGTCTGTGATGAACCCTCTCCTTTCCCCATAGATCCTGATGACCCCTCTCCTTTCCCCATAGACCCTGATGTGCCCTCTCCTTTCCCCATAGACCCTGATGTGCCCTCTCCTTTCCCCATAGACCCTGATGAACCCTCTCCTTTCCCCACAGAACCTGATGAACCATCTCCTTTACCACCGCCTTCTTCAATTTTGATAATCCGCCTTTTCTTTTCTGTTGTACCATAAAGCTCTGTAAGCCAGTCCTCGTCCTCATTTTTGGTGTTCTCAGAAGGAGTGAATTTCAGTAGCTCTTCTTCTGATGGCATAACACCCCAGAAGCTTAATGAATCTATTGATACTTTTTTGTATACATATCCATCCTTGAACATCAGACCATCAAGAAATTCAAACTTCATGCCACTTTCACGATCAGTCCTGTACTGGATGAGAGGGCGGAACTCCCTACATGCAAGATAAATAAATAAATAAACATTCTATCAGAAGCTAGCATGAAATAACGAACTACTAGTCAATGATCTGTTTCATACTCGAGTTCGTTTGAGCTGATCAATCTTGGGGCAGCAGCAGGCCTTTTCTTTCTAGTACCTCCTCCACCCTATAGAGTGAAAGGAATCAATACATACAGAATCTTAAATCATATTCAGATTCTTAACGATCTGGATTTTAAAGTTGCAAACACACAAAGACATCACATATCCAAATCCAAATTAAACAAGCATTAGAGGAAAGATATTTAAAACAAAAAAACCGTTACCAACAAACAGAAAGAGGAAAGCATGTGTAAAAGAGGAAAGATATTTATTACAAATTTTGCAGCCATTGCTTGAAGATCAATTCTGGGGATCAGCTTTACAGTCGCTCTTTTTCGTAAATCGTTCACAAATACAACCTTCAGAAAAAAAAAATCCAGATAGCGGAAATGAGTGTCAACCATTAAAGCAACCCAACCAGCCCAAGCTGGGACAAATTATACCTGTGCCAAATCACCCTTGTAGTTCCCATTCTTCACACGGGCCCACATGCCCGCAGTAATTCCATTGGATTTAGTCCGAGGAGACAGCAAATGAGAAACTTCGTTATTTGGAACTGGCATTACTCGGGACGGGTATATACTACAAATTCCTTTACATGCCTAAGAATATCAATGAAAGTTCAGATACTAGTATATTAAGATTAAGAATAGTATTGGCCAAACAAGAAACTTTTCCTGCACTCACTAATAAAAAGATCAACTTTCTATAACATCCAAGGGAAAGATCACCTCATTAATATCAGATTGCTTGTCAGCTTCAATGAAAACAAAACCCTTGATGTGCTCAACAGCAAATGCAGAAACAATCTGTAGTTTGGTACCTAGCGATCGGAAGTCAACAAACTTCTGCATCATACAGAAAGCTGAATGCCTCTCCCGGCCGACCTACATCCCAAAACATTTGACTGAGGAAAGATGGTCGTTCTTTTTAGAAGAAGAAAAAAAAAAAAAGGGAAGATGGTTTTTCGGACATCTCAGAATTTTTCTACAACAAAAAAAATTCAATGTCGTACCATGCATTTCACTTTCCAGATGATTGGATCCTTAACAGTAGGCAGAACATTTCCATCAACAGACCTTTTGTTCTCATAATTATCTTCAGCATAGGTTACATAGCTGGAGCCACTCCTGTATCGTTCTTCCATCATTTTTTCAAATTCTTCACCATCCAGATCCTCCTCTTTAGGAACAAATGGAAGGTTATGTGCTTTCCCTGGGTCATTCTGGGCTACAGGTTCTGTTTCAAATTCTTCTTCCATAAAATCTGTAATCAATAATTTCAAAAGAAACTTCAGAGTGTAAACACAGATTTCATAGGCAAAATGCACATACTCAGTTATCATGCTACTCGTATACACCAAAGACGTATATTACATGACTGTAACCCTGTAAATTTAAGCCAAAATTTCAACTTAACTTCACAACGAGGACAAACAGATGACTATTATAGGCACATATATGTGTGTGTGTGTGTGTATTCCATATAACAGAGCACGCAACTATAATAGTGCATACTTAACAACATCTGCACAACAATGTCCAAATGCACCGAAGTTTCATTAGGCGAAATCGGTATCGACCCAATAATTCGAAGAAAGTCTCTCAAAGCCATTATTTACTTTATGGTCAGCAAACAAGTTTAAGAAATTAAGCAATCTAACTACACACTTAAAATAAAAAATTGAAGCTCCACAAGCAACCACAAAAGCCAGAAATTCAAATATACAAAGGAAATACAGGAAATTAATAAAGGTTTAATCTGTCAATACGCACAAAGCAAGCTCCAAAAAAAAAAAAATACCCATTTCAAAAACCCTAGAAATCCGAATCCAGATGGAAAATGCGCGACCATAAAAGACATCAGAGACAGAATATACCGTCATCGAAGTCACTCTCGTCGCCGTCGTCGGCTTCGTCAGCGACGTCTTCGAAGAATCTAAGGACGCCGGGGTTGTTCCTCTTCCGGCCACCACCGGACTTGTCATCGTGCTTACGCTTCCCGCCGGAGAATCCGCCTCCGGCGGCGATCCCCTTACCCTTCGACGCCATCACAATGCGAAGGTTTCAGAGAAGAAGTGCCTCAATCGCAGGCAGCGAGAGAGAGAGAGAGGTGCCACTGATGACTGGTGAATTGGGCCTCAAAAGCTCTTCAGCTCTTTCAAGTGTAGGTGGCAGGTGGGGAAATGGGACTTTTTGCGATTTTACAGTTCTGTCCTCTGTGTCTATGTTTTTTATGGCTTTGGCGCGTGGGTATTAAAGTCAAATTAACTTCATGCTTGGCCAATTGTCGAAACAAGTATTGTTGCTACAAATTTGGATTTCCCTTTCGAAAATATGGAAAATTTATTAAAAGAATTGTTTATGAATCTACAGAAGGACGAGTATAGCCTTCACTCACATTTTTTGTTGGTCGACAACGGGGCATAAATCATAAAAAAAAAAAAAAAAAAAAACAATGATTACATAAGAATATAACATGATCACAATACTTCAATTATATCAACAACTAAAAACAAGTTTGCTCACAGAAGATTAAACCCAAATTGCTTGACAAATTCAAACAAGCTAAATCATCAATAACAAAATTATTTTTACAATAAATATATCGAATTTCACAAGATCAGCTTTAATGCCTTCACTCGCCCTTTTTGGTGACCATGATTTTCAAAAAAATGAAAATTTTCATCATGGCTTCTTTACAAAAATAATTAACAAGAAAAGTGTTTGGATATAACTGTGAGGCATTGTTAATAGATCCAACCATTTCTCTTGGGAGACACAACTCCAACCAAAGTTGCTAAAACCCAAAATTTAGCATCAAGTAATGAAAAACACCCCGACCCGAGCCCAATTGGAGCTAAAACCCCAAATATATTGAACGTACAAACCCAAATTTGGGAGCCCATTTCGGGAAATATAGGGAGAGGATCCTCGCCGGACCCAAACCCTCCGGATCCTCCTTCTTCATTCTTTTCTGCAGTTTTGCTTCTTATTCTTCTACTCCTTCAAATATTCTTCTTCAATAATCCTTCTTGTTCAATTCTGCTTCTTCCTTTTCACTTCTTTTTTTTTTTTTTTTTTGTTTATAGGGAAACTTCTACACGCTCAATTTTATACAACCACGATCGTTGACAACTATTACGGTATCAAACCTTCAACAACAAATGTTGGAGCATAGGATTATGACAAAATAATATACAATTTATATATGACAGTTTCCACTCCTATTATCACCAAGGGCTTTTGTGATAAAACCAAACACCTAGTAGTAGGTGGTTAAGTTGTGACAATACGACCGTGTGATGGACGCTGTTGATGCTTCATTACAGCTTGACCTCGAACCAGGCAGGTGGTGATGTAAACACTGGCAGATACGGCAATGACATACTGCACGAAAGAACTGCACCACCCAGACGTCACAATGGCAGACCGGTCAAGGCAAAAAGTTAGAGGAATACTTGGTTGCAGTGATGCAGATAGGACTCTCTTGCTGTGCAATATCACCAAGGGCATATGGGACTCGGTTGTTAAGAAGACTTAAGGAGGTCAAAGCAACGCTGCTCAAATGAGAATGGACATTGCTGAACAAGAATGTTGTCCACTGTCTGGTCCCCAAAGCAATTCGACCTCCACCACTCTGCCTCACATGAGAAGTCATCATTGTTTTGTGTGTGTTTTTTGTTTTTCTTTTTCCATTTATATGACTCGATGTTTGTATGGAGCTTTTTAGAATTGTATTGGTTTTATCCGTTTCTGTTTAAAATCTGATAAACTCATGCATCTCATATGTGAAGAACTTGGTGGACAGAAGCCTTAGTTTTCGAGCTTATTCACAAACACTAACAATAATATCCAATGCCTTCTCAGTTCTCACTGCTGTACGTGTTTAGCTCATTGATCAGTGTCCTTAACATCGCTATCCACATTTGAGCCCATGCAACACGTAGGAAGTCCACCATTCCACAGTTCTTTTTTCCTTTTCTGGTCATGCGATATTCTAATTCTAACTTGTACAAACTAGCAAACGCTTCTCACAAGATCTTGTGTTTTTAAGGACATTCGTAACTCGCGCATACAACCAAACAACCAAAACGCCACACACAAGATCAAACGCATGCTAAGAACACAAGAAATTATAACCATTGACCAATTGTGGAAAAAAAATTCCTGAAGTCCTTATAAACACAGAACTATAAAATAGGTAACGAGCAGAACTTATTGGCCTCCGAAGCAACAACTTTATTTTTGTGCGCGTGCGCTGCTTGTTCCTCTGGAGTTGATCTACTTGTTGGTGTCTTCTCCGACCGGTCCGACCAACTGGTCTCCATTCCGGAGGCTTCCTACCCACCTTGATAGTAAGCCAATTCACAACCTAACATACAGATGGGTGATTTGAAATTGGGCGTAAAAGGGCAGACATACTGCCGTTGCCAACTGGTCTCCATTCCGGAGGCTTCTTACTCTTTATTTTCTTAAAAGAACTTTGTCTGCATGATTGCCATTTTCTCGAGCTATTGTTCATTGCATGCAAGGATTCGGTAGGCTAAATTCCTCCAGGCCAGGCAAACTTATTATCCCATTTCTTATTTTCAAGGATCCAAATCAGGTGCTACGTAGCATACGTACTGTAATTGGAAGGGAACCCTAGAAGCGCGAGAAGAGTTATACTTTCAATTGGGAAGCTAAAGTGAAGTATCTCGAACTAATCACACGTAAACAAATTAAAATACATGATAGCACAAGATATGCTTTGGATACTCTCATATTAATCGTTGGAGCCAAAATTACGCACCGCTGTGGACGGAAGGGCTGAGCAAGTTTGGCTAGTTGCAAAGAAATAAATAATCGCAGTCAACATGAGGTACCGGCCAAAGACTCTCCGAAACGAGTTTTAGACTCAAGTAGTGGGTAAGAGAATGAAAATAGTGCGTATTAGCAAAGACGAACCCTAGATGAGTGTATTTATACCCAATTGGGGGATAGACCTATAGAATAATGATTCCATTAAACCAAGAGAATCCAAGGAAATATCTAAGACCACATATTGTTTTCTCTTTTAAAGTGTGATTACGTGCATGCCAATTCCTAGATTGTAAGAATCTCTAACAAGAATGGTCAATCTCAGCGAAATCGGTTGACTTCACCTACTTTTCCGGAGTACAACAAGATGTGATGGCATCGCTGGTTCGTTGAAGCAACTCAATCCAATCAAAGATGTTGAGTCCATAACCAAATTTTTGTATACGTATTCCAATCCGTCTTACTCAGGTCAAACAATAAACGCCCTTCAAAGACGGGAATGTGAAATGTGAAGAATGAGTTCCGCTTGCTTCTTCTCTGGTGAAGAACCCTTTATAATATGCTTGAGGAAAATCTTTTATTTCTAAATAACTTCTACCCATGAACTGAAAATTCCAGGGTTTCTTCCTTTAAAAACAACATAGAAATTAAAATTTTTGCCTTCTGGAAAAACATTTTGAGGACGAAGTCCAATAGTTTCTGGAAAGCTTGACTTGTTTTGTAAATTCTGTAAATTGTGAATAATTATATTTATCTGACTAAAGACATATGCAAGACAATTTAAAGTGTGCTGGTTTTTCCATTGATTGACTACTGACCCTAAAGTTGGCCAATGACACTTTGGCCACGTGGTTTTTCCATTGACTGATTATTGGCCTTAAAGTCGGCCAATAATACATTCCATTAACTGACTATTGACCCTGAAGCATACTCATTTTTATTTCTCATACATTTTTTTGTTAATTTCTATTTTTTTTTATCTTCTTTCATTGAATTGATCCGACAGTTGCAAATTAAGAAGATGTCTATGAAGTTTTTAAATTAATACAGAGAGCCCTTCTTGATTATCCACACACAGCCCATACAGATAATGTGGTTCTCTAATTTTTCTTTACTAGTTTGGAATAGTAAAATTAACGGTAAAAATAAACAAATTAATGAAGGTATTATAACAATTGAAAATATATATTAAAGGCTTAACTCTGTTTTTTATTAAAGCAGTTTTTGAAAGTAACCTACATATTGTTTTTAAAAATTATTGTCTGGGAGCCATTGATTTAAAAAAAAACAACATATTTTACTTTTACCACACTTTTTTACCGCTTAACTTTAAAGTGAATCAATTTTTGATGAAAAAAAGTCAATACCATATATGACCTTAATAAGTTGAAATACCAAAGATAAACCCATAATTCTCCGTGATGAGTCTGAAGACACGACAATTTCTCGACAAGGAGGGCAAAACTTCAAAGTCAATTACTCAATCAACTCATTCGGTAGTATCAAAATTCAAGCATGTGCGATCTGCCAAGAACACAAATATTGACGTCCATTTATTAAGCAAGTGGTGGTGATTTGCGATCTGCCATGGTCTACACGCAAGGGAGGAAAATTAATTGTATTAAATGAGTCCACGTTATCGTGACATTCCGGTCTAAAAATGCAACTTTTCCAGTTGTTCGGTCTCTCTTACTATCTTCTCTCTTCATCTTGCTTGCGTCTGTCATCGTCGTGTTCTCTTCGCGCCTTTGTTGCTCTTCACTTCTTCAGTCGTTTGGTCTCTCTTGCTATCTTCTCTCTTCATCTCGCTCAGTCTCAAACTGGATAGTTTTGCGGTGAGTTATTCCAATCTCTTATCTGGAACTTTATTTTTCTAACTGTATGGATTGTGTTTTGTTGAAGTTTATATATAAGAAACTTTTAATTTTTCTGGTTTCAATTTCAAATCAGATTCTGTTATGGGTTGTTATCAACCATTGAATTGGTTTTGGAGTTTTCGTTTGATCAGAGAGATAGAGTGTTGTTTTGGGTGAAACTTTTAATCGGTGAGATTTTTAGTTAGGCTATGTTGTGGGTTTTGGCCAATTTCTAGCGTGTTTTTTACAAGCCTTGAATTTTGTAAGGACTGTTTCATTATTTAGAGAGGTAGTTTGATCCCATTGACGAATTTTTTCATAGCAGCTTCAAATCAACCTCTCTCCTCTCAGTCAGGTCACTCTGTTTCTTCTACAGGTATATCTATGTATACAGTTATGTACATATATATAATCGATTTCTACTATACGTTTACATCTATCGAATGAAAATTGATTATTTTTTATTTGGGTTTCTGAAGTTCCAGGACGAGTTCGTCGCAGCCAAAGTTGATACTTTTGATTCCAAAGTTGCCTCCTTTATATCTCACAAAGCAGTGCCGAAATTCTCACAAGGTATATTTAGAAAGAAAAAAAATTATTGATTTTTACTAGTAATTTTAATATTTTTTTTTCATGATTTTCTTATGAAATTTGGATTTTTGTGTGTTTGGATTTGACTAAAGTCTTGATTTATCAGTAAGTTTGTGTTTCTTTCTCGATTTTTTATGAAATTTTGACTAATGGGGTTTTGTTAAAATTTTGTATTTCTCTATGAGTGATGCAAAGTGGTTGTGCTTCATGTTGTAGTAACCTCGGGTGCATAATTGACTTGATCTTTCATTGTATTTCTCTATGAGTGATATAAAATCCATCTGAAGAAGACACGGAAGAAGAACCATTGATAGTTGCACATTTGTGTTAGATTTGATTCAAATTGGTGGATTTGGGTAAGAAACTAAGAAACCCCAAAATGGATATGCATGTGTTTCTCTTTGTAAGATATATGGGATTGAGCAATTTTGAGAGTGTGGCTAGCTAAGGAAATAGAGAAGGAATAATTTTTTTGTTTGGGATCCAGAGTTTACTGTTTACTGCGAAGTTGCTTTCTCTTGATTTTTTGTTGTTTTAATATTTTTGTTCATGTATTTGAATGCATTTTTTTTATTTATTTCTGCCTATTTATCTAAATCCCTATTCAATTTGTTGGAATTCATCAGAGAGTATTGGGTCTAGTCATTTCCTTTTAATTTTTCAGGTTTTTTTTTTTTTTTTTTTTATTTTTTTTTATTTTTTTCCCTATTGAGGAGTTGTAGATGTCCATGTCAGATTCATAAGGAAAAAGAACCATTTTTCTGGATATATTAAAACATGTAAGAAATTGTTCTCTACTAACATATTAAGAAAAAATAGAATTTTTCCAGTAAATTTGTTCTCTTTTGTTTAAATAGTTTAGGCAATATGGACAGATTACTTCAAAATTCAAATTGAATGATGGTTTATTGGTGTGAATTATGTTACACGTTTAGTTTCTTTTAGTTTTACTATTCTGATAGATGTGTATGTATTAATATTCAATTTATCCCTATTCTCTTATGGTGTTTACTAAACTGTTGTGCACTATTGCTGCACAACCTCTGATGGTTCCATTGTTGGGCAAAATTTTGAGATAAAATTTAATTACAAAATAAAAAACTAGATTGCTACACAGACTTTGATGTTGTTTTCATATTTAGTTGTTTTGTAACTTGGTTGATTTGGGTTTGTACAGTTTTTTTCTTTTTTTTTTTGGTGGTCTTGGAGGCACTGGCTTGCAGGTTTTCGAATGTTAAATTGTTTACTCCTTGCCATAATATATTCTACAATAACATGTTAACAATTGTTTTAGACAACATGATCTGACCCCATTTCCAAAGCCAAATAAAAAAAGTAATGATCAACTCACATGTTAAAAAAAGTAAATTGTAGAAATGGTTTTTCACAACTTTAATCAAAATGGAGCAATGATCCCTCAACTAAAAAACCATTACCATTGGTCCCTCAACTTAACAAAATGTGTAGCTATAGTCCTTTTCATCAATTTCGTCAAAATTTTGTCAAAATAAGTTATGTTGGAATAACCATTTATATAATAAGGGTCCATCAACTCATCAAAGTGTGTACTTATGGTCATTTTTGTCAATACGTCAAAATTTTTGTCAAAACGAGTTATGTTGGAAGAACCATTGCTACAATTGGGTTAAAGTTAAAGTATCATTTCTCCAGTTGAATTAAAGTTGAGGGACCAATGGTTATGAATTTTTAGTTGAGGGACCACAGCTGCACGTTTTGATGAGTTGAGGGTTCAATGGTAATGTATTTTTAACTGAGGGATCATTACTCTAATTGAGTTAAAGTTAAGGGATCATAGCTACACTTTACTCTTAAAAAAATTATAAATTTAAAGAACATAGATTAACCACCACTGCATGCTTAGTTTAACACAGATTTCCTCCACTTGATTGCTAAGAAAATGTTCAGAAACAAAACAACTTAATTTTAGTGCTATTGTCGTGATGGATGCTATATTTTGACTAGCTTATTAAGTTTTGGATAACTTATGAATTTAAGGTCTTCAGTTTTAATATTTAAACAGCAATGTGTGTGTTGATTTTCAGTGCAGTGGTTAAAGAAGAGTACAAGAAAAAGTTCTGTTTATTTCTCCATAAAAGATTAAGAAAGGTGAGTTGGACATAGAAGATGGAATTTCAACTTTGAGTTTTAACTCTTTACTATTTATTAGGAGTTTTAACAAAAAGTCTGCGATACTATTCATTTTAACAAAAAATTACATTTTTACACTAAAAAATCAAACATGGTACTATTCACTTTACCCTTTATTTTGTCCTTATCGTTAAAACTCTAAATTTTCAAACTCTTTTCATTAATTTTCCTTTATTTTTTTATTCAGTCTTTGGCAAGCCATTATACATAATAACATAACTTAGCATTTACCAAACAATTAAACATGTAACATAACATTTATATTTTTCATTTACAGTTGGTAGCCACGAATTAACTCACTATCAACTTTATACCAACATTGGAGCGTGCCTTAAAAGTGTAAGTCATATTTTTTAGAGAACTTTAACGAAAAACTCCCGGTATTATTTACTTTAATGAAAAATCACATTTTTACGCTAAAAAGTCAATTCTGGTACTATTCACTTCACTCTTTATTTTGTCATTATCATTAAAACTCAAAGTTTTCATGTCATTTTCATTAGTTTTCCTTATTTTTTTATTCTATTTTATAAAATGAATGAAGTTCTGAAGTTTTTGTCTTATGAGACTTAGGTAATATGTATCATTTTATAGACATAACACATGCAAAAACAAAAAATTGTAAGCCGCATCCATGAAACATTTTTTATGTAAAATTTTTCTAACATTTTAAGTTTAAGGAATATTGATGCCTGAAATCCTATCATCAGTTTTTTCCATCAAAATTTTTCAATCGGTTGAGTTCTTTTCAAATATGTATAATTTCTTTGTGCAACGTCTCTTTTAGTTTTTTGGTCAAGCATTTTAAATCATTACCAACTATTTAGTAAAAGTAGTTTTATAGCAAATGCTTGAGCTTCTTGGAATACCTGTTTTAAAAACAAATGGAAAGACTGAAACTATATATAGAGTTAAATGGCGACAGTCAACCAGATTTTTCATGCAATTCCAGTCAGTATCAATATCTTAGTCATTTAACTATTAACACATATAACATGATAAAAATAAATTTTCCGAAACCTAGCATGCCGTACAATGTCTCAAAACATATCTCGTATATATCGTAATCACTAGTGAATGTCCAATATCCCTCCAGGCCCCGTGCCAGCTCCCCATTCCTATGCTAATTGCCAGAGGAAAAACATTTTCAGGCCCTATGCCAACATCGTACCCTTGCCCGTGCCGAAATCTATCCCTTTTCCCGTAGCGGAATAGGGACCACTAGGTAAGTACAAAACTATTGAACATACATTTATTCAAAAGGCAACTTCATAGTATAAAGTCATCCATCATCTATACTATAAAGAGGTGTTCCAAACGTGTTCTAAATATTATATCGTCATCCATAAGATATTCTATAAAAAACACGGGTTATAGGAAAAATAGTAATAATTCAAACTAGCCTCAATAAGCATGTTATCTAATAAAATGTAATCATTAAATCATACTTTTCATGTATGCATTTTTAGAAGGGGTCCACTCACAGTACTTCACTGTTGAAAAGCCACACCACCTAGCGAAGAAGGAAACGTCACAAATAATTGCCCCTAAGCACATAAAGGGTACAATTAATAAAGCTTTATCCAAACGATTTAATTTGGGAAACAGACGTTGAATTACCCTAAAAAGGGTCCCAAGTAAATTTCGTAAAAGTTCAACACGGGAATATTCTAGAGAATATTCCTCGAAAGGTTCCAAGAATATCCTTGGAAGGTTTCAACCAGGTTTAGGGCTTAGGGTTTGGACTTGGGTTAGGTTTAGGTTTAGGTAGGCTGGGCTTAGGATAATGGGTTAATGGGTTAAGGATTTCTAATTTAAAATGGGTTTAAGGGCTGAGTTATATGAAGTTTGAGCTTGAAAGAGGTTTTGGGGTAAAAAGGTTAAACGGGCCAAGGCCCGAGCTTGGCCTAAGATCAAAAGGGCCTAAGGCCCGAGCCAAAACGGCCTAATGACCTGGGTTTTGAAAGGTTTAGACCTGGGGATCGAAGTGGGTTGGGCTGCCCAAAGGGCCGAGGGTCTCCATGGCCCAAGGGCCTCGCAGGTCACCGGATTATACGAAGAAGAAGGCCCGAACATGACCGAGAACTTTTCTAGCTCTGACGGAGCTCGAAACAACACCATTTAATGCAAACCAAATACCAAAATGAAGCCCGTGAAGCAAGGAAGAGATCTATACCAATTTCAAGGTGAGTGGTGGTCAGAATTGGCCGAAAAACACTGCAACCATCAATCTAGTCATCGAGAAACTAGGAAAAGCTTCCCCAGAGCTATCTCTGCATTCCAACATCTAACTTATAATCATCATAATCTAACCTTAACAACAACTAAAAAGGTCTAGGATGCTTGCCTTGGTCAACACACACGGAATCTCGTCGGAGAAGTAAGAGCACTATGTGCACAGTGCGGTGCAAAGAGAGAGAGTGTGTGTGAGATCGCAGGGTGGCAAGGGGGATAAGGGTGATGAAGATATGGTGGTTGTGTTGATTGTCTATATGTGTGTGTGTTGTATATGTAGGATCTCGCCGGAGAGGAGAGCACCAAGAGAGAGAGAGAGATAACTGGGAGTGGGTCGGAAAAGAAGAAAGGGAAGTGAGGGAGATAAGTGAAGTGCCACGTGGCAGCAAAGACAGGGAACCGGGGACACAAAAACAGAAGGTAGGGCTCACCAATTTAGATCCAAAAACAATTTTTAAATAAAAACCCAAAACTATTTTTAAAATCAGGGGTGGGGTGTAACGTATATGACTTTGTTATAAATACGTCAAAGTTAGAGAGATAATCTTTACTAGTGACAGAAGCGAAGCAAGTGTAAAATATTACACTATAACTATAACACAATAGGATGACAAATAAGGGAGGTAGGAATAGATAATGATGTTATTGATCTTTCCTTTCTTTCTCTGTATTTTGATTGCAGTCGAGTGCTCTATTTATAGAACAACTCGCATTATTACATTTTGAAATTTACATCACATGACTTTAAAAACACAATCCTTTTGTTTCCAAAGTCTACATCACATTTGTGGGCATTGAAAAATTTGTGTGTGGGCATTCATAACAATGCCAATGTTTTCAACACTCCCCTTTGGATGCCCACATATCAACATCAGTTGCCTCATTAAAACTTTGCTTGGAAAAACCCAGTGGGAAAAAACCATAACAAAGGAAAAAGAGTACAACTTTACTTGGATTGTTGATATAGTGTTACATATGCTTATGTTACCTCGTTAAAACCTTGATATGAAAACCCAGTGGAAAAAATTCTAATCGAAGGAAAAAGAGTACAACATGCATGTATCATGGATGCTCCCCCTGATATATATCTCCCCTTGATTCCTCATTCTCCAAATTCAGCTATTTGGTATCAACGTAATCCGATACTTTGCACTATCTTTTGAAACATGCACTTTGATAGAGATTTGGTGAACAAATATGTCAGATTTTCTTTGGAATGGATTTGCCTGATTTCAATTACTTTAGCCTTTTGAAAATCATGTGCACTGAAAAACTTTGGAGATATGTGTTTAGTCTTATCGTCCATTGATGAATCCTTCCTTTATTTGGGCAACACATGATGCATTATCTTCATGAATGACAGTTGGAGTGTCCATCTTTGAAGGTAGACTATACAAATTTCGAATATGATGGATCATTGATCTTAACCAAGAACATTCACAACTTGCTTCATGTAAAGCAAGTATTTCTGAATGATTTGAAGATGTAGCAATTAATGTTTGCTTTGTTAAGCGCCATGAGATTGTTGTATCTCCATTCTTGAACACATATCCAGTTTGTGAGTGGGCTTTATGCGGATCAGAGAGAAAACCAGCATCTGCATATCCAACAAGGATCTAGTCATTTGTGGATTTCTTTGAGTAAAAAAGACCCATGTCTATTGTCCCACAAAGGTATCGCAATACATCTTTGACTTCCTTCCAATGACGAATTGTTAGAGCAGAGCTATACCTTACTAACAAGTTGACTAAAAAAGCTATATTTGGTCTTGTACATTGTGCTAAATACAATAAAGCACCTATTGCACTCAAATATGGTACTTCTGGACTGAGGACTAGTTCATCATCTTCTTTTGGACGGAATGGATCTTTCTTAATGTCCAAAGAAAGAATGACCATTGGCATGCTGAGTGGATAAGCCTTGTCCATACCAAATCGCTTCATGATTTTTTCAATGTAAGTTGATTGGTGGACCAAAATTCCACTAGCATAATGCTCAATCTGCAGGGTGAGACAATATTTTGTTTTTCCAAGGTCTTTAATTTCAAATTCGCTTTTCAGATATTCATTAGTTTTATTAAGCTCTTCAGGGTTTCCAACTAGGTTTATATCATCGACATATGCTGCCACTATAGCAAATGACATTGTTGATATACCCTTCTTTGATCAAATACTCACTGAGACGATTATACCACATTCGTCCAAATTGTTTTAGTCCATACAATGATCGCCTTAATTTGATTGAGAGTATACCTCGTGGTTTGTTAGTTGTTTCAGGCAACTTAAGTCATTTTAGGACTTTCATATATATATATATATATATATATATATATATCAGTATCTAATTCTTCATATAAATACGCGGTGATGACATCCATAAGTCACATGTCAAGTTTTTCTGAAACCATTAAACTTATTAAGTAACGGGACGTAATTGCGTCTATTACAAGGGAGTATGTCTCCTCATAATCAATTACAGGTCTTTGTGAAAAGCCTTGAGCAATGAGGCTTGCAATCTTGTTTTTCTCATTGCGTTTTATTGTGAATACCCATTTGTAATCCATGTGGTTTACACTAGGTGAGGTTTGGACTTCTGGTCCAAAAGAATTTCGTCTTTCCAAGGAATTTAATTCTGCCTAAATTGCATCTTTCCACTTAGGCCAATCCTACCGCTGCTTGCATTCATCAACAGAACGGGGCTCAAGATCATCACTTAATATGATTTCAGTGGCTACTGCGAATGCGAACATATCATTGATGATTATTTAATTCCGATCCCACAATTCATTAGTATAAGCATAATTTATGGAGACTTATTTGCTTTCATGTACCTCTGTTTCTTTAGGTACATGTGTCTCATCAAGGATTTTTTTTTTTTCTTGAAAGTATAGAATCATGAATTGTGGATGTGTCATTCATTTTTTTCTTTTTGAATAATCTCATTTGGATTAAGTTGTGCCCTCGTCTTTCTTTTTCAAGAGATTGAATCTTTTGAACCTGGTGGTCTACCACGCTTCAGGCGTACACCAGATGAATTATTCGCTGCCACTTTATTTTGTCCAACAGAGACATTAATTCTTGCAGGTGCATTTGCAACTGGTAAATATGATTTTGTCACTTTCATAGTATCATTAAATGCATCTGGCATTTGATTGACAATACTTTGAAGATGAATGATCATTTTCACTTCATTTTCACATTGAGTGCTACGTAGATCAAAATGAGATAAGGTGGGAACAACCCATGTCAGCTCTTGCCGTTCTTCTGGAACGGTATTTTCTCCCCTTAACGACAAGAAGACTGTCTCATCAAAGTGACAATCAGCAAAATGAGCTGTAAACATATCACCTGTCAAGGGTTCCAAATATCTAATGACAGATGGTGAATCAAAACCTACATAAATTCCCAATGTGCACTAAGGTCTCATTTTAGTGCATTGTGGTGGTGTAATAGGTACATAAACAACACAATCAAAAACTCGTAAATGTGAAATATTTGGCTGATGCCCAAACACGAGTTGTATTGATGAGTATTGGTGGTTGGCTATAAATCTCAATTGAACCAATGATGCAGCATATAAGATGGCATGTCCTCATACAGAAATTGGCAATTTTGTTTTCATAAGCAGAGTGTGAGCTATTAACTGAAGCCGCTAGATCAATGTTTTTGCTAAACCATTTTGAGTATGGACATGAGGAACAGGGTGTTCAACATCAATGTTCGATGTCATGCAGTAATCATCAAAAGTTTGAGATGTAAATTCACCAGCGTTTCCAAGTCGGAATGACTTAATGGGATAATCTAGGTATTGTGCTCGCAACTTAATTATCTAAGCAAGAAGTCTCGCAAAAGCTACATTCTGAATAGATAAGAGACAAACATGTGACCATCGGGTAGATGCATCAACCAAAACCATAAAATATCGAAATGGTCCACAAGATGGTTAAATAGGCCCACAAATATCCCCTTGAATTCTTTGCAGAAATGATGGAGATTCAGCATCAACCTTTAGTTGTGATGGTCTAATTACCAACTTCCTTATAGAACAAGCCTTGCAAAGATTATCATTTGAGATATCAATGTGTCAGCTCAATAATGGATGTCCATTATAGTTGGTAATGATTCTACGCATCATGGTAGATCCTGAGTGACCCAGATGATCATGCCAAAACATGTAAACTTTTGAATCAATGAACTTCTGGTTCATGACAGTATGCGATTCAACTGTCTTTATGTATGTATAATACAATCCACTCGTCAAACCACGCAACGTCTCCAATATACGCTTTTGGGTATCATTGGAGGTAATGCATAGATACTCCACATTTTCTACACTTTTTGTTTCAATGTGATTTCATTTAAATGTATGTCTTTAAAACTCAACAAATTTCGAATAGCGTACAACGCATTCTGTATGGACAATATTGTTCCATTTGGTAACATAATCTGGGATTTCCCAGAGCCTTCAATCACATCTGATTGCCTTGATATTGTTGTTACCTTTACTTTTGTAAGCATCAATCGTGAGAAATATTTTCGATCTTGAAGTATTGTTTGCATGGTTGTGTTGTCTGGAAGATAAATATCTTCGCTATTTCTCATGTTTTGAGAATGATTATAGTTTTTATCCATGCTCTCTGAGTAAGGAAATCACAGTTAAAAGCAGGTTATAACAGGAAATTTAAATGTCACTTTTATTGAATCTAAAATGCTAGTTTTAAACTACAAGTTCAGTACATCAAGCATAAACGATTTAGTCGAACCAGTATACTTCATTCCCCCTTTCCACAATGAAGTTTGAGACATCTAGGTGAGTTATGTTCAACTGCCTTGATAAGTCACACACTGGATCAAGTATATCGATTGATTTAGCCTAGTTGAGAAAATTGGTTTCAACACCCTTCTCTCTGAAGGATACTTGATACATATCCACCAGATGTTTTGGGGTACGACAAGTACGAACCCAGTGCCCATTGCCACCACACCTATGACATGCTTCTTCAGAGTTTCTGGGAGCATTGTTTATATGAGCTCTGCCTTTGTGGCGATTTACATTTTTAAAGTTTAGGCCTGAATTATGCCTTGGAACCTGGTTGTGAAACTGGACACCATGATTCTTGCCTTTCCTGTTCTATCGTCCTCACATGTGGCCATGTCCTCGTTTATAATTATTGCCACCAGAGGATGTGGCGTTCACTTCGAGGGAAGTAGTATTTACTTCTGGGAATGGTGCATATCCAGTAGGTCGGGAATGATGATTTTTCAGCAGGAGCTCATTGTTTTGTTCAGCAACCAGAAGCACAAAGATCAGCTGGTTATATTCAGTGAAACATCGCGCTTTATATTGCTGCTGCATGAGCACGTTAGAGGCATGAAAGGTGTTGAAAGTCTTTTCCAGCATATCTTCCTCAGTGATGGATTCCCCACAAAGTTTCATCTGGGAACTAATTTTTGAACATCGCATAATTGTACTCAGCCACTGATTTGAAATCCTAGATCCTTAGGTGAGTCCACTCATAATGAGCTCTTGGAAGAATCACCGTTTTTTGGTGATTGTATCTGTTTCTTAATGTCTTCCAAAGAGCTAACGGATCTTTAATCGTTAGGTACTCGTTTTTTAGTCCTTCATCAAGATGGCGACAGACAAAGATCATGGTATTCGCCTGATCTTGAGAAAATGCAATGTTCTCCTCTTTTGATTATTTCTGCAAGATTCCCCTCCTCCAAATGGATCTTGACATCCACTACCCAGGTAAGGTAGTTTTTCCCAATAATGTCTAGGGCAACAAAATCAAGCTTTACTAAGTTTGCTATTTTCTTTTCTTAAAAAAAAACTGAGATGTGTAAGAACTTGCAAGAATATGTAATCTTGGGGATGTAGTGTTAGAACTTATGGTTCTTACAAATTCTTCATTTTGATCTTCAGGCCAAAATGATAAGCACTCGAAACTTCTAGCTCGAGATTTACATGATGAATGAGAAGGGTGATTGTACTGCACCATTCTCATAACATAGGATAGGCAATTATTCCACACCACTCTAGTAGCAGGAAAATTGAAATACGCAGAGTAGGGTGGACGATTATACCGCACCATCTAAAATTGCAATGAAATTAAACAACAGGCAAATTTAAATATGCAGGGTATGATGGGCGATAATACCGCTCCACCTAAAATTTGCAGTAAAATTAGATTTGTAGTCCAAGATAGGGAATGATATCGCACCATCATGAATTGCAGTAAGATTTGTAGTTCAAGATGGGTGATTGTACCTCACAATCTTGGATTGCAATAAAATTAACATAAATAAACATTGGGTTAGTAATCAAGATCTACACCAAACAAGAAATCAAAGATATATGTAACTGTTACGTTGAGAACTAAAAGTAGGCATTGTACAAACAGTTATTCGCGAGGGTATATCCAGCAGTTGAGGCAGAGGAAGAAGATGAATAGTAAAATTCTCAGTGGAAACATTTTTTTTTTTCCTTTGGACAAAGAGAAATGATTTCTTTCTGCGAATAGAAATGATGAATGGTTATATTTAGAGAATCGTGCTGATAATGTTATAACCATTCCTCATTTCTCTTTACCCAAATAAATCATTTCTCTTCATTGAAAGAAAAAAAAAAGTTTCCTCTAAGGATTTTACTGTTTATCTTCTTCTTCTGCCTCAACTGCTGGATATACCCTCGCAAAGAACTGTTTGCACCATACCTGCTTTTAGTTCTTAACCTAACAATTACATGTATCTTTGATTTCATGTTTGGTGTAGATCTTGATTACTAACCCATGTTTATTTATATTAATTTTACTGCAATCCAAGATGGTGCGATACGATCGTCCTATCTTTAACTGCAAATTTAATCTTACTGCAATCCATGATTGTGCGATATCATCGCCTATCTTGGACTGCAGATCTAATTTTACTGCAAATTTTAGGTGGAGCGGTATCATCGCCCATCATACCCTGCATATTTAAATTTGACCTGCTGTTTAATTTCATTGCAATCTTAGGTGGCGCAATATAATTGCCCACCCTGCTTTGCATATTTCAATTTTCTTGCTACTAGAGTGGTGAGGAATAATCGCCTATCCTATGTATGAGAATGGTGCAGGTACAATCGCCCTTTTCGTTTATTATGTAAATCTCAAGCTAGAAGTTTTGAGTGCTTATCATTTTGGCCTAAAGATCAAAATGAAGAATTTGTAAGAATCATGAGTTCTAACACTACATCCCCCAGATTACATATTATTGCAAGTTCTTACACATCTCAGTTTTCTTTCAGAAAAGAAAATGACTAACTTGGCAAAGCTTGATTTTGTTGGGTTGGATATTACTGGGAAAAACTATTTTACCTGGGTAGTGTATGTCAAGATCCATCCAGAGGCAGGGAATCTTGCAGAAACAATCAAGGAGGAGAACAGTTCATTTTCTCAAGATCTGGCGAAGACCAATTTTTATCCGTCGCCACCTTGATATAGGACTAAAAAGTGAATACCTAACGGTTGAAGATCCGTTAGCTCTCTGGAAGACATTAAGAAACAAATACAATCACCAGAAAATAGTGATTGTTCCAAGAGCTCATTATGAGTGGACTCACGTAAGGATCCAGGATTTCAAGTCAGTGGTTGAGTACAATTCTGCGATGTTCAAAATTAGTTTCCAGATGAAACTCTGTGGGGAAACCATCAGTGAGGAAGATATGCTGGAAAAGACTTTCAAGCACCTTTCATTCCTCCAACATGCTCGTGCAGCAGCAATATAAAGCGTGAGGTTTCACTTAATATAACCATCTAATCTCTGTGCTCCTAGTTGCTGAACAAAACAATGAGCTCTTGCTGAAAAATCATCATACCTGACTTACTGGATCTGCATCATTCCTAGAAGTGAATGCTACTTCTCTTGAAGTGAACACACATCAACTGGTGGCAATAATCATAAACGAGGACGTGACCACATGCAAAGACGGTGGAACGTAATATACAAGAATCATGGTGTCCAGTTTCACAACCAGGTTCCAAGGCATAATTCAGGCCCAAGCTTCAAAAATGTAAATCGCCACAAAGGCAGAGCTCATATAAACAATGCTCCCAGAAACTCTGAAGGAGCATGCCATAGGTGTGGTGGAAATGGGCATTGAGCGCGTACTTGTTCTACCCCAAAACATCTGGGAGATCTGTATCAAGCATCCCTCAAGGAGAAGGGTGTTAAGACCAATTTTTTCGACCAGGCTAAACCAATGGATATACCTGATCCAGTGTGTGACTCATCAGGGCAGTTAAACACAACCCATATAGATGTCTCGGACTTCATTGTGGAAATAGGGAATGAAGTATATCGGTCTGACTAAATTGTTTGAGTTTGATGTATTGAACTTGTAGTTCAAAACTAGCATTTCAGATTTAATAAAAGTGACATTTAAATTTCCTGTTATAACTTGCTTTTAACTGTAATTTCCTTACTCATAGAGCATGGATAAAAACTATGATCATTCTCAAAACATGAGAAATAACAGAGATATTTGCCTTGCAGACAGCGCAACCACGCATACAATACTTCGAGATCGAAAGTATTTTTTAAGATTGATGCTTACAAAAGTAAAGGTAACAACAATATCAGGGCAATCAGATGTGATTGAAGGCTTAGGGAAAGCATAGATTATGTTACAAAATTGAGCAATATTGTCCATACAGAATGCGTTGTACGCAACTAGATCTACTCGAAATTTGTTGAGTTTTAAAGACATATGTTTAAATGGATATTACATTGAAACAAAAAGTGCTGAAAATGTGAAGTATATATGCATTACCTTCAATGATACCCAAAAACGTATATTAGAGACTTTGCGTGGTTTGACAAGTGGATTGTATTATACATACATAAAAACTGTTGAATCACATACTGTCATGAACCAGAAGTTCATTGATTCAAAAGTTTACATGTTTTGTCATGACCGTCTGGGTTACCCAGGATCTACCATGATGCGTAGAATCATTACCAACTTTAATGAACATCCACTATTGAGAAGACACATTACTATCTCAAACAATAACCTTTGCAAGGCTTGTTCTCTAGGGAAGTTAGTAATTAGACTATCACAACTAAAGGTTGATGTTGAATCTCTATCATTTCTACAAAGAATTCAAAGGGATATTTGGAGGCCTATTCAACCATCTTGTGGACCATTTCGATATTTTATGGTTTTGGTTGATGCATCTACCTGATGGTCACATGTTTGTCTCTTGTCTACTCGAAATGTAGCTTTTGCGAGACTTCTTACTTAGATAATTAAGTTGCGAGCATAGTTCCCGGATTATCCCATTAAGTCAATCCGACTTGATAACGTAGGTAAATTTACGTCTCAAACTTTTGATGATTACTGCATGACATTGGGCATTGTTGTTGAACACCGTGTTCCTCATGTCTATACTCAAAATGGTTTAGCAGAAACATTGATCAAGTAGCTTTAGTTAATAGCCCAGACTCTGCTTATGAAAACAAAATTGCTAGTTTTTGCATTGGGACAAACGATCTTACATGCTGCATCATTGGTTCGATTGAGGCATATAGCCAACCACTAATACTCATCAGTACAACTCGTGTTTGGGCATCAGCGAAACATTTCACATTTACAAGTTTTTAGTTATGCTGTTTATGTACCTATTACACCACCATAACGCACTAAAATGAGACAGTGCAGACTAAGAATTTATGTAGGTTTTGATTCACCATCTATCATTAGATATTTGGAAACCTTGACAAGTGATATGTTTACAGTTCATTTTGCTGATTGTCACTTTGGTGAAACAGTCTTCCCGTTATTAGGTGGGAGAAAAGACCGTTCCAGAAGAACGACAAAAGCTGACATAGGTTGTTCCCACCTTATCTCATTTTGATCAACGTAGCACTCAATGTGAAAATGAAGTGAAAAGGATCGTTCATCTTCAAAGTATTGCCAATCAAATGCCAGATGCATTTAATGATGCTAAGAAAGTGACAAAATCATATATACCAGTTGCAAATGCACCTGCGAGAATTGATGGCCCTGTTGAACAAAATAAAGTGGCAGCGAATGATTTATTTAGTGCACGCCTAAAGCGTGGTAGACCACTAGGTTCAAAAGATTCAGCCCTTCGATAGAGAAAGACGAGGGCACAACTGAATCCAAATGAAATCATTCAAGAAGAAAAAATGAATGACACATCCACAATTCATGATTTTGTACTTTCAGAAAAATAAAATGTCCTTGATGAGACACATGTACCTGAAGAAACAGAGGTACATGAAAACAAAGAAATCTCTATAAATCATGTTTGTACTAATGAATTGTGGGATCAGAATGAAATAATCATATATGACATGTTCGTATTCGTAGTAGCCACTAAAATCATATTAAGTGATGATCTTGAGCCCCGCTCTCCTGATGAATGCAAACAGCAGCAAGATTGGCCTAAGTAGAAAGATGCAATCCAGGCTGAATTAAATTCCTTGGAAAGGCGAAATGTTTTTGGACTAGTAGTCCAAACCCTACCTGGTGTAAACCCCGTGGGCTACAAATGGGTATTCACAAGGAAACGCAATGAGAAAAACGAGATTGCAAGATATAAAGCACGACTTGTTGAACAAGACTTTTTGCAAAGGCCTGTAATTGATTATGAGAAGACATACTCCCCTATAATAGACGCAATTACGTTCCGTTACTTAATAAGTTTAGTGGTTTTAGAAAAACTTGACATGCGACTTATAGATGTCATCACCGCATATCTATATGGAGAATTAGATACTGACATATACATGAAAGTCCCAGAATGACTTAAGTTGCATGAAACAACTAACAAACCACGACGTATGCTCTCTATCAAATTAAGGCGATCATTGTATGGGTTGAAACAATCTGGACGAATGTAGTATAATTGTCTCAGTAAGTATTTGATCAAAGAATGGATATCAACAATGTCAGTTGCCCTTGTGTGATCATTAAGAAATCCAACTCTGGATTTGCTATAGTGGCAGTATATGTTGATGATATAAACCTAGTTGGAACCCTTGAAGAGCTTAATAAAACTGCGGAATATCTTAAAAGTGAATTTGAAATGAAAGACCTTCGAAAAATAAAATTTTGTCTCGGCTTGCAGATCGAGCATTGTGCTAGTGGAATTTTGGTCCACCAATCAGCTTACATTGAAAAACTCCTGAAGCGATTTAATATAGACAAGGCTTATCCACTCAGCATGCCAATGATCATTCGTTCTATAGGCATTAAGAAAGATCCATTCCGTCTAAAAGAAAATGATGAATTGGTCATTGGTCCAAAAGTACCATATTTGAGTGCAATAGGTGCTTTATTGTATTTAGCATAATGTACTAGACCAGATATAGCTTTTTCAGTCAATTTGTTAGCAAGGTATATCTCTACTCCAACAATTCGTCATTGGAAGGGAGTCAAAGATGTATTGCGATACCTTCGTGGAACAACATATATGGGTCTTTTCTACTCAAAGAAATCCACAAATAACCAGATCCTTGTTGGATATACAGATGCTGGTTTTCTCTCTGATCTGCATAAAGCCCGCTCACAAACTGGATATGTGCTCAAGAATAGAGATACAACAATCTCATGAAGCTCAATAAAACAAACATTAGTTGCTAGATCTTCAAATCATTCAAAAATACTTGCTTTACATGAAGCAAGTCATGAATGTGGTTAAGATCAATGATCTATCATATTCAGAATTCATGTGATCTACCTTCAAAGACAGATACTCCAACTGTCAGTCATGAAGATAATGCAGCCTGTGTTGCCCAAATGAAGGAAGGATTCATCAAAGGTGATAAGACTAAACACATATCTCCAAAGTTTTTTAGTGTACATGAGCTTCAGAAGGCTAAAGTTATTAAAGTTAGACAAATCCGTTCCAATGAAAATTAGGCAGATTTGTTCATCAAATCTCTACCAAAGTGCACGTTTCAGAAGATAGTGCATAGTATCAGATTATGTCGACTTATTAAACAGCTAAATTTGGAGAATGCAGAATTAGAGGGAGATATATATCGAGGGGAACATCCATGATACGTGCATGTTGTACTCTTTTTCCTTCAATTAAGATTTTTCCCACTGGGCTTTTCCTATCAAGGTTTTAACGAGGCAACATAAGCATATTTAACATTATATCAACAATCCAAGTAAAGTTGTACTCTTTTTCTTTTGCTATGGTTTTTTCCCACTGGGTTTTTCCAAGCAAGGTTTTAATGGGACAACTAATGTTGATATGTGGGTATCCAAGGGGAAGTATTGAAAACATTGGCATTGTTATGAATGCCCACACACAAACTTTTCAATGCCCACAAATGTGATGTAGAATTTGGAAACAAAAAGATCGTATTTTCAAAGTCATGTGATGTAAATTTCAAAATGTAATAATGCGAGTTGCTTTATAAATAGAGCAGTCGACTGCAATCAAAACACAGAGAAAGAAAGGAAAGATCAATAAGATCATTATCTATTCCTACCTCCTTTATTTGTCATCCTCTTGTGCTATAGTTACAGTGTAATATTTTACATATGCTTCGCTCCTATTACTAGTAAAGGTTATCTCTCTAACCTTGACCTATTTATAACAACACTGTAACTACAGCACAAGAGGATGACAAATAAAGGAGGTAGAAATAGATAATGATGTTATTGATCTTTCCTTTCGTTCTCTGTGTTTTGATTGCAGTCGACTGCTCTATTTATAGAGCAATTCGCATTATTACATTTTGAAGTTTACATCACATGACTTTGAAAATACGATCCTTTCGTTTCCAAAGTCTACATCACATTTGTGGACATTGAAAAATCTACGTGTGGGCATTCATAACAATCCCAATGTTTTCAACAGACTTTTAATTGTTTGTATAAATTTCTTTTTATCCCCAGCAGGACGATCTCATAGTGTTGTTTAGCAAATATTCACTACGTCTGCATCATGACAAATTGCTTGTATGCACCCATTTATTAATTAAAATTTATATACTGCAATGTTCGAAATATAATTATCCATCAAATTTATAATCCCGCAGCAATGCGCGGACATCACTCTCTAGATTGTAACTACATTTTTTTTTTTTTTTTATGCACTTGCGTAACATACTAACATTAAACTTGGTTTTTAAAGTGGACCAAAATATATAATTTGGTTTCTGATTTACTTTGTGTCTTAGAACAAAGATGGAGCATACATATACAAATGGCAAGCTTGTTTTGTTCAAATTCCTGCATGGCTTCATTGTTTTATGTATGATGAGCACCTATCCAGAATCTGCCACACTTCCCAGCCCTACTCTGCTTGGAAATGAATCTGATCGCTTGGCTTTGCTAGACTTCAAGAAAAGAATAACTGAAGATCCTTTCGATGTCATGAGCTCGTGGAACCGTTCCCTTCATTTTTGCAGTTGGGTTGGAGTTGAACCTGAAAGCTCAGAAGTTGGTAGGCTCCATTCCACCTTCCATTGGAAATCTCACTCATCTTACTGTAATCAATTTGAATGGCAACAGCTTTCATGGGGTAATTCCTCAAGAAATTGGTCGTCTTCGAAGCCTACAATATCTGAACCTATCTCGCAATTCTTTCCACGGGAAAATCCAACTAATCTGTCGCACTGCACACTGCTAAGATTTCTCAATATTGAATTCAATTCGATTACTGGGCCGATTCCAAAACAGCTCACTGCATTGATAAATTTAAATATTCTAGCAATTTCTCGTAACAATCTCGGTGGAACCATCCCAGGTTGGATAGCGAACTTATCTTCTTTGGGGACTCTTTATCTCGGGAGAAACAATTTGCAAGGAAGCATACCAAATGAGTTGGGGCATATGGCAGGCTTGGTACAATTCTCAGCTGAGGAGAATAATCTATCTGGTATGGTCCCTTCTTCATTCTATAATATTTCCTCCATACGTATTTTCAGTGTTGTTGATAACCAGTTGCATGGAGAGCTACCACCAAATATTGGCACTATGCTTCCTAACCTCGTAGAAATTTCTTGGGGTATGAACAATTTCACTGGAAATATTCCAGTATCTTTGTCAAATGCTTCTAGACTCCAGGGGATTGATTTTGCAGGAAATAAGATCACCGGGACAGTCCCTGGTGAAAATCTAGGAACCTTGCAAAGCTTAATTTGGCTGAACCTTGAACAAAATCACTTGGGAATCGGAAAATCTGGTGACCTGAACTTTATCAGTTTCTTAGCTAATTGTACTAGTTTGGATGAGCTGGGTCTCCAAGGTAATAATTTTGGAGGAAGAATACCAATATCCATATCCAACCTTTCGACCCAAGTAGATTATCTTACTTTTGGGCAAAATATGATACAGGGAAGCATCCCTAACGGCATTGGGAATCTTATTAACTTGGCCATTCTAGCAGTGGAAATTAACCATTTGCAAGGTAGTGTCCCTAATGAAATTGGGAAGCTTCAAAACTTAGTGGAACTGTATTTGGATGGTAATGAATTTTCTGGGCCAATCCCGCCATCCCTTGGTAACATCACTTCCCTGACAAAGCTTTACATGCAGAGTAGTGGGGTTGAGGGAAGTATACCTCTAACTCTTGGAAACTGCCAAAGTCTGTTAGTACTGAAACTTGGTGATAACAATCTAACAAGCGCCATACCTACAGAGCTTACTCGGCTTTCGTCTCTCTCAATCTCTTTGAATCTGTCTTCCAATTATTTGACTGGTTCGCTGCCTGTTGAGGTGGGTGATTTAATTCATCTCACGGAGCTAGATGTATCAAGAAACAAGTTATCAGGTGAAATCCCAAGCACCCTTGGCAGTTGCACTAGTTTGGAGCGCTTGTATTTACAAGGTAATGACATGGAAGGAATGATTCCTCAATCTCTTAAAGATTTAAGAGGCTTGGGAGAACTAGACATTTCAAGCAATAAGTTATCTGGACAGATCCCTGATTTCATAGGAAAGCTTAAAGCTCTGAAGTATCTTAATCTCTCATATAATGATTTTGTGGGTGAGTTGCCTAAGGAAGGAATCTTTGCAAATGCCAATGGTGTTTCTGTTCTTGGAAATCATAGGCTCTGTGGTGGTATCCCACAATTACATCTGCCTCCATGCTCCCAGAAAAATAACCATTCATCTCGAGGATTACTTTCCTCAAAAGTAGTCATCCCTACAACTTGTGCACTAGCATTCATATTTGCTCTATCATGCTTCTTTGGTGCTTGTTCAATGCTGAAAAAGTCAAGAGGTAGACCAACAACTTCACGTTCTTACAAGGATTGGAAATCAGGTGTTTCCTACTCAGAACTCGTTGAGTCAACAAACGGGTTCTCAGTGGATAATTTGATTGGTTCGGGAAGTTTTGGTTCCGTTTATAAAGGAGTAATTCCTAGTGATGGAAGGATAGTCGCTGTTAAGGTATTAGACCTTCAACAACAAGGAGCGTCCAAGAGTTTCATTGATGAATGCAAAGCTTTAAGGAGTATAAGGCACCGCAATCTTCTCAAGATCATAACAGCATGCTCAAGCATTGATAGTCAGGGTAAAGATTTCAAAAGTTTAGTTTTTGAGTTCATGGAAAATGGAAATTTAGACTCATGGTTGTATCCAAGAGATGAGGAGCAACCTTCAAGTAAGAGATTGAATGTTATCCGAAGATTGGATATTGCCATTGGTGTTGCTTCTGCATTAGATTATCTGCATCACCATTGTGAAATCCCCATTGTTCATTGTGATCTAAAGCCGAGCAATGTACTTCTTGATGAAGATATGGTAGCCCATGTTGGAGACTTTGGTTTAGCAAGGTTCATCTTGGAAGCATCAAATGATCTCTCCCTCAGTCAAAGCTTGTCTGCTCAACTAAAGGGTTCAGTAGGCTACATTCCTCCAGGTATGAGTTGCTGTCATTTGTGTTTCCTCTTCCTAGTAACTTATGACTAAATCCAACTATTGTCTCTTTTGATATACATGATTGGATAGGAATAGATAAGATACTATTTTCAAGGTATGTTGAAAGAAAAAATGCAAAAAATTGCGACCAACTTAAAGGTAAGAGAAGGACCCAAAATCGGAGTACTAGAGGGGAGAAGTTTCTTAATGTTTGAAATACCTTCAAAATTAAAAATCATTCTAATCTACCTCCAGTAGGCCTTGAATTTAGACAGTTATCCCTTCCAATCTAATAATTTCTACCAAACAAGCCCCAAAACTCTATTTATGAAAAGTTATTACTGCTTGCTTTTACTGGAAAGAAAATAATATAAAAATTTGAAATATGATATCAATTCTAAAAGTAAATTGCATATTACATTTTATTGTATGTATGTCTGGCAGAATATGGCACGGGAGGCCAAGTTTCCATAATGGGAGATGTTTATAGCTATGGGATACTGTTGCTAGAGATGTTCACAGGAAAAAGACCTACGGATGACATGTTCAATGATGGTCTAAGCATTTACCAATTTGTAACCATGGCTTTGCCAGACCGAGTGATGGACGTTGTTGATCCTTCATTACTCATCAACCTTGAAGGGGATGGTGATGTTAACGATGACGGACACAATATTGCCATACTACAAGAAAGAAGTGCACCCAGAGGTAACAATCGTGATCTAGTGAAAGCAAAAAAGTTTGAGGAATGCTTGGTTGCAGTTATGCAGATAGGGCTCTCTTGCTGTGCAATATCACCAAGGAAGCGGATGCTTATGGATGCGGTTGTAAGAAAAATGAGCTCAATTAGAGACTCGTACCTTAAAGTTTAAGAAGACTTAACAAGGACAATGCATGATGTGTTTGTTAAAGAAGGACAGAGTTCCATATATGTGGCTTGAAAATTTGTAAGCACCTGATAAACCAGTGATTATGCAGTTTAGAGCATTTGTCAAAAGTCATGTATTACTATTCCAAATGTGAAGAACTTGTTGGGATCAAAGTTTTCTCTGAAACTTTAGCCATTATTAGCAAAGATAAAATCTTTGTATTTCTAAGCTTATGCACAAACTCTAACTTTATGCACAAACTAACTTTCTCTACAAAAGCAGCAGACGCAGTCTCCTGTATATATGGATTGAAATGCCACAGTGCATACGTATTGAACATTTCTTACGAGGAGGGATTCAAACTTGAGCCCAAGCAAAGTAGGCAGTCCACCATTCCAGCATTGGCTACTGATAAATTTTTCTTTTTCAGATGGTAGTATTCTAAGTCTAACTTAAAAGAGGATGGGGAGATCCAAACTTGAGTGTAAAAAGCCAGATACAATGTTGTAGCCAACTAACCTAATCCAACATCTACCATTGCGCACTCAGACTCACATATTGATTTCTATGTTTGGACTCATATTACATTTTATCACCGTGATTTTAATATTTCAATTTGGACACTAGGTTTTATTCTTTTAACAATTTTAGTATCAAATTATCATAGAGACTGGCCAAAAACTCTATTTCAACAACACCGATATTATCCCCAACTTGTTAACTATCATCTGCATAGTCCGACATGTGTGAGATTTTATCACAAAAGAACTCGGTATTAGTTGGAGTGGTGTTTTAAGATATTTATATTCTTATTTTTCTCTATCTATGTCTGATGTGGTATATTTCAACATTTAGGACAATCTTTAACTTCCATTAACTTTAAAAAAATCTAAAGTTTCATTACTTATCCATATGACAATGAATTTGGTTGATTGCTTTTGTCTGATCAAATTTTTTTTCATCGGGACTAAAACTTTGATCCGATGAAATTTAGTTTGTCGGACAAACTTTCTTCGGACAAATGTTAATTTATGGTAGGAATGTATGTAACTCCCCACTTAAAAAGCCGTATAAATGAAAAAAAAAATTTCACCTCTTTTGCATGCCATGGCACACTAAATAAAAGTAAAAATTGAAATGTGTGTTGCCTACTTAATCTTACTCAAGTTTCTGGTATTAATTTGTCATGCTGATAATTTTGAACCAAAGAAAGAAGAAAAAAGAGTTGTCATGTGCTCATGCAACACGTGGAAATGCCGTGGTTTTTTTTTTTTTTTTCCCATTCTTTTGTATGTTGGGAAACTGATAATATGTCAGAAATAATAATAAATGGATATCAATTCTACATCCTTTTTTTTTAATTTTTTTTTAATTTTTATCGAAACTAGAATTTTTATTTTTGTAAAAATAACAGAGTACATGTAATTTGGGAGGGCAAGGGAAACCTCATTAAAAACCTCCAAAAAGAAGGGAAAAAAAGTACTTCACCAAATTACTCCCCACTTATAATTAATTCTACATCTATATATAATATAATATATAATATATAAGGGAAAATTTGAAATAGGTCCAATTTTATAGACTACCTTTTGATTTTTAGTGACTTTTGATTTTTGAAATAGGTCAAATTTTTAGTTACTTTGGACCCATTTCAAAAAACCCCATTATATAAAGGAAGAAAGTAAAAAGGGTGAAAGTAAAAAGGGTGAAGCTTTTATATAATATTCAAACTACCCTTTCCTCCCATTAGGATTTCAAAAAACAAAAGATTTACAAAAAAAAAAAAAAAAATCCAAGTAAGATGGTTAGTAAGTTTATTATTTTTTAAAATGTAGTAAATAATAATAACTAAAATATGTATAATTAAATTTAAAAAAAAAAAACAACAACAACAACAAATAATAGATTGTCAAACAGAAAAATAAATAATAAAATAAAAAATTCCAATTGCCACACGCGTCCGAGTGATATAGTAAGTAATGCTCTAAGTTTATTAATTGCTTATATTATTGCACCCACAATATTACAAATTACACAACTACGAATTTCGCTTCTGCTGCTCCCACACCATTCTAAGCAACCACAATTTCTGTCTCATCAGCCACGCTCATGGGTATAAACATTTTTTAAACTTATTCTAATTTTTTATTAATTGCTTATATTATTGAAAACATTTTTTAAAAAGCTAATGGGTATAAACTTATTCTAATTTTTTATTAATTTTGGAAATGTTTTGAATTGAAAATTAGTTAAGAGTTTAATAAAGGCGTGAGTATTCAAATTCTAAATCAATTATTAATTTTTATTTAAAAAAATTATGTATATGTAAATTCATTATTACATTAATGGTAGGAACTTGGATCAAATTTTGAAAACTAATGATGTTTCAATCAATGAACATAAGTAATTAGGGACTGGATACTAATTTTTCCAAGATGCACTAATTGCCGTTTAAAAATACTTTTTTTTTTGTTTGAAAAAATGAAATAAAAAAGTTAGTTTGGTGAGTTTTCAATTTTGGTTTTCAAACTTTTTTTAACTGAAAATCATTATCAAACAAGTTTTTAATTTTTCGATTGAAACTGAAAGAAAAAAAAAAGTAAAATAGTTATAAAACACACCCTTAATTTTAAGGATTAAGTATCTTTTTCTTTTTCTTTTTCCACAAATATGGTAGACCTTCACAATAATGAAAAGAGACTTGGAAAACGTCATTATAATATCAAAAGGTGAAAAGTTCAGTTTGATCTCCTAAAAAATTAATTATGTTGAGTAAATGAATCTGTAAGAATATATTAAGAATTTTGGCAAACAGATGCAGATACCAAGTTCCAGGACCACTCACGCCACAAATAATGAAGGTATAACATATTGTAATATATGAGTAAACCAAATTTTTTTATAATCACTTGCAATAAATCTCAACATTTCTTTACATCCCCACATGAGTTACATTCTTCAAGGAAAAAGAAAATGTGAACTAGACAGTGTGAATAGCAATCCCAGTCCATAAGTGGAAATATTAATTAACAGAGCACTGCCATTCAATGTAAAATAGAGAAATGTTAAGAGATTTTCAAAGTGAGATTATCTATAAACTTTCTTGTAATTTACAGTGTGACGTTAATTTCAATGTTAATAGTATAAAACATTGTGCTAAACACAAGAGGTAACAGAAAGTTCTTAGAGAGTCTCACTTTTGAGAGTCTTTTCTATAAAATATCTACCCATGTGGTTCAATATCCTAACGGACTGAGTCTTGAGTTTCTACTCATACGTTTCGGGCTCAAAACTCTTCTCTAAATTATTATAATTGTTTCGAACTTTTAAAAAATATATATATAATATAAAATATCTAATTTGCCAGCGGACCTTTAACATCATTAGCCGCATTTGCCTTTGTTTTATTTGTTTACCGATGGCAACTTGGAATTTTTTTTTTCTCTGTTCACAATTAGGAATGGTTCAAAATAATGGAAGCGGATTCCCTTCTGATCCTCTTTGTGGAGACCTCTGGAATCCTCGATTTTGGTGTGCTTATTGTTCATTGTGTGGTCATAAATTATTTAAATAATTGTATTTAATTAAATATGAACAATATCTGACGAAAACTGATCGCACGATAAACGATGGACGCATCGGATTCGAGAATCCCCACCAAGTGGATCATGAGGGGATCCTCTTCCCAAAATAATTGAACGGATGGAATTTTGCAGTCTCTTTTATGAGCACTAAGTTCCTCTTTTTGATCACTTAAATTTTAGTCATGGTGGCTCTCCATTCAGTACACAAATTCGGATGATTTTTGGCCACCACCTTCACCACTAGTGTTAACAACTTTATTTGTTATTATTAGATGAGTTTAAATTTTTGAGATTTATATTTTTTCATGAAATATGTCTTGAACTTTAAACTCATTTAACAGTAATAAATAAGATGATGAACATCACCATCGGCTTGAAGATGATGGGCAAAATATTCTTCACAAACTCAGCGTTACTAATAATTTCTATAGTCGGGCACAATACAATCTTTAGTGCTTCAATGTCAACCGCTATAGTTTCTGCATTAGCTTTACCAGTCAACCACTATAGTTTCTGCATCAGTTGTACCACCTTAATTTGTAACCCTAGTGCCACAGTTGCAGGGAAGTCTTGGCTGTCTCCGGGAAATATCCTCCCATGTTTATATTCTTGTAGCACTCACCACGTGATAAAGATCAAGCAATGAGGTAGTGCTATAGAAACATGATGATATATCTTCGGTTGTATGCAACTTCGTTGCCTCAGTAGCTGACATCATTTTTCTATCACTAGCTTGCATCATTCTGCAATATTTCTGTACCGGGATTGAATATTAAGTTCAAACAGAGAAAACCGATGAAAATAGTGTCAATTTCCATTTTGGTTCAGGAATATCAAGTTCCTGAATTATTAGAGATATCATAATCTGGTTCAAGAAAGATTGTACATAATATTACAATGACAGATGAAATTAGCTAAAATTTAAAACCATTCCTATTTGTGTTTAACTAAGAACTTGTACCACCTTTCACCTTCGAATATCTGGGTTGTTTCTAGGACTTCTTACACCAGTCTCAGTTTCCGGCTTCGATACTAATCCAACATTCCGGTTTGTCGCCACCACCTCGTCAGATTCAACCGCTATCGACTCATCTTTGAACTTCTTATAGATGTCACTGTTATAAAACTTCCAAGTCCTAAGCACCAAAATGAGGGAAAAAAACACACCAAGAATTGTCGCACCGGTGATTATAAGGAAGGGCAATTTGTAGCATTGTCCTCCAGTACAATTTAATCCCTCCCCGGGCTTCCTCTCCAACCCTAAAGCTTTCAGTTGCTTCTCTGCCTCCTTATCATAAAGATAGCCTGTGACTTTCACATTAAGCAAATATGAACCAAGTGGGCAAGCCATCACCCCAACATTGTTCAAAGTAGAGCAATGCTTAAGCCCGAAAACCTCGGAAGTGATTGCAAAAATCAACGGCCATTGTCCACCGAAGCAAAACCCTGTGATTATTGAAGCTACGTAGAGACCATTTGGGACGTTGAAAGCAATGAGAAGGTGGCCAATGCAGGACACCAAGAGGGACACAGTGAACATAAGAGGCCTAGGGATTTTGTATTTTGTGATAAAGACTTCTGAGAGAAAACCCAACATGACTTCTCCAAGGTAAATCCATATGCTTGCGAGCGAAACAAAAGTGGTTATGCTTTCCAAAGAGTAGCCTAATGCAGTTCCAATCTGGCCCAAATTGTCCATCAGTGTTAGCATGCCTCCGAGGCCACACAATGTGGTTAAAAATAAAGTTAACATCTCAATGCTGAATATTGCTTGGAGGATTGTATAGTCTTGTCCGATCTCCGGTGGACTAAATATATTTTCCCAACAAGAAAGCTTTTTTACCTTCAACATTTCCTTGTTTTGGCTTACAATTATTTGATCCACAGGTGGTGAATCTGGTGATGAAATTTCGATGTTTACGGTACTTAAAGATGTCTTATTCCTCCAAGAAGTGTACTCTTCTGCAACTACAACAGCAAGTGGGAGAAAAAGCAAGAAAAGCACAACAGCTGCACTCCCACCGTACTCAAATTGTGTGAATTTCACCTTTTGCTCTACTATGATTATGATCAGTAAGTACCCTGCCAGTCCAAGTGAAATAAAAAAGAATTTTTGTAGTACCTTGGAATATTTCTTCTTCGGTATAACCTTCATTATCCGAATGGTACGAAGAAATATCAAAGAAATAGCTGAGGGAAGCCATGCCACAAACAAAGTGAAGGACTTTGTGTCATTACCATACAAAGCATGGTATATCTGCACAATTACAGCTGCACTTAGGCCTATGTAGCCTTCCAAAAGCCCGATTAAGAGGCCGCGGTTTCTTGGGAAGTTTTTGACACACGTGACTAGAGCTCCGGTGTTGATGAAAGTATGTGAATTTGCCCCCATTGTGATGTACAAGCACATGTGCCAAACTTGAGGTTTGGCAATTTTTTGGGCCACGGCTAGCCATATCATGAAGTATCCGAAAAAGTTGAATGCTGCACCAATTGATAAGACCACCCATGGCGGCGTGACCTCGTTGACTAGGCCGGAAAAGATGCCGATGTTGGCCCCCAAATCCTTGAAGAAACTGATGGTGTTGAGGGTGGATTGGCTGTAGCCAAGGACAGACTTGATGTCGTTTGAGTAGAGGCCAAACATGTAGCTTGCACCGGCACTAGCCATCATTAGGAATGAGGCAAACAACATGAGCCACCGGCCAGTGATTACTTGGACGGCGAAGCCTTTCATATCTGTCCAAGTTCTCACACCATTACCACTACCGCTATTGCCATGAACCTCCATTCTCTAAGCCTCTTTGCTTACTTTGCCTCCTCAAAAGAAAACCCTGTTTTTATCCAGAATTATAATACGCGTTAGCACAAAAAACTTGTACAAAATCATCATATCACTTCATTATGCTGGCTTCTTATCTGGAAAGAATTATATATTAAAAATGAAAGGCAAATTTCCATTTCTAATGTATGCCATGGATAGGAATCCAAAATAAGCTTTCCAATGAAAATTGCTTAGCAATTTGTTCTTAGTAGGGTTTTTGGCTACTCATAACTTGGTAGTCCTGTGTAGTTCATATATACATGAATTACGTCATAGATAACAGATACATACAAGGACATCTTCAATAAATATATGCAAAATAAATTAGGTATAAGTCATGATCTACATAAATACTACTTTAAAACAAGAGAAATGATTTCGACAAAAAAATAATAATATAGCGCATTATTAAAGGTCTATTTTGTGTCTAGAATTGGATTGAAATGAATAACACACTATATTCAAGGTATAAGTGAATGAACTTTCATTTTTACAGAAGTAAAAGAGATTAGACATGAAGAAAATTAGTCTATTCTGGTCTCCGCAATTTAAGAAGAATATGATAGTTAAGTTTTCTCAAAGGAGCAATTCATCTTCTACTCACTACACCAAACTTAGCTTTTATCATACTATCGTAGTGAATTATTCGTTTGAATTTAACTCTAAACACCAAGGCCAAAGAGTGATGAGTTTACCCAACTTGTTGGAAGCCAGGCAGCCTTGAGGTGACAGCGGCAGCTGCAAACGAAGATGATCGAAGGCGTACGTTGTCGTTCGCGGATGGCTGCAGAACTCGAGCTTTGAGCAGAGTTGTTTATGGCATTTTTGGTTGAAATCACAACTGTTCATCAAGTGAGAAGTTGAGCAGACCCCAAGAAATCAGAAAGATCATTAATATCTATGAACTACTAGTCGTCTACTACTAACTATTGATGTGATATGTGAATTTGATGTTCCACAGACAGGACCACATCTTTGACTTTGCTATGTATTTTTTCTTAATTTGGATTTATATGTGTGGAATTCTTGTAATCCACGATTAGGTATTAGCTGAAAAAAATCACTATCATGAAAAATACAGACGCATCCTCAAAACTGAGGTAACATTTAACCACTTAAATAAGAGCATTCGAAACTTGATTTCTTTTTGTTTTTGTCCTCTCTAAGAGCTTATTAATTAATCACTAATAGTGTACTTGGTTTGGTCGAATGGATGAAAAGAAATAGAACGAAAACAAATATATGTAGCAAATATATCAGAAACAAAATGGGTGGTTTCGTCTTTTAAATTAGCTGAGCAGAAAATAGCCATAAGTGAATGAGAAAGAGTAAGGATGGGCATGGTTTGATTCGGTACGATTTTATATGAAATCGAAACCAAAATCGAGCTTGTGGATATCCCACCATTGTTGCATGTCAAGCTGTCAACCCTTCATTGAAATTTCATCAGTTTGGTTTCCCCTTTTCTTTTTCTTCAATTTGTAATAAAACCCAATGCGTTTAACTTTTGCATGCACTGTTTACTATAAGCACATGTTCGTGTAAATCAAATCAAGATAAGGAGAATTTTTTAAATGCGCCGGGAATAGAGTTTGGACACTAAGTATAAGGATATAATTGATTGAAAACTTAGAAAAAAAGAAAAAAAATTCAATCAATTGTATTACGACGCCTTAATGTACCAGACATTGTTTTCAGCACATTGAAAATTTTCTCTAAGATAAGGTAAGTTTGGTAGCAACAAAACTTAATAATATACACACAATTTGGGATTAGGTTTATGTATTTAACCGAGAAATCACACATGCACACATGCATTGCTTAATTACATTGACCTTTAGCAACAAACAGAATAATGATGGAAATTAACCGAACCCCCAATGAATGCAGACAGATTTGGAATCTTTGAATATGTTCATTTCAACGTTCAACAAGAAAGAAATTATGAAAACAAACAAAAAATACGTCGTCAGGTATCCATTTGTTATAAATTATATTGGAATCTCAATCTCTGTTAGCTGGAAAAATGGGATATACAGCTAGAGACACAAAAGGACAAGTTGACTGGTTTTGTGTACATTAGCCACCAACCTCAGATTAATGTTTTAAGTTGTTTTGGATATGTCAGGGGCCCAAAGAAAAATGCAGTTGCATTAGTGGCATACTTTGTTGAATCCGGAACGGGCTTGGTTACATCTTTAATTTTCTTTGAATTCGTAATTGGTTGCAAACTTTTAATAAATGTGAATTCGTGGTATATTTTGATCACTAAAAGCAGTACTATTTCATTTATTGTTGTTGATTTAGTGTCATTAATTTCAAATCTATTTTCGATTAAAATTTTATAATCAAGTGTCTTTCCGTTGAAGTTTCGTAAATAAGATGATTTGGTTAACGAAGAAGAAACAATAGTTCCGTAAATGGTCTTCCCTCATGTTGGGGACCATAACGAATGGACAAACACTTGTAGCTGTAGACAAATTTACAAACTAAATGATATATTACCAATAGAAAATAATCTCGTTCATCAACGGTTCAGTAATAATCTAATTATCAACTTTCATATCATTTAGTGTTTGTTACTTCACAAGACTAGCTTTAGTGGGAGTAAGCGGACTCGCCTCCACTAAGGACTGTGCTAGACGGTTTTAGCGAAAGACTTCGTGAATCATGGAACTAGCTAATCCCTTCGCTCTCTACTCGCGTCCTCTACTCTCTTCTCTAACAAATTTACAAACTAAATAATATTACGAATAGAAAATGATCTCATTCATCAATGGTTTGGTAATAATTTAATTATCAACTTCTATGTTATTTAGTGCTTGTTACTTCACGGAACTAGCTTTAGTGGGAGTAGACGGGCTCGCCTCGACTAAGGACCGTGCTAGACAGTCTTAGCGAGAGACTTGGTGAACCACGGAACTAGCTAATCCCTTTGATCGCTATCTGCTCGCGTTCTCTCTCTCTCGCCCGTCCCCGACCCTAAATCATGAACAAAGACCTCGATTCGAGATGGGAACCGGAATCGGAATTAGAATCGGACTTTTGCAGTGATTTGCCACACTTTTCAGTCCCCAGAGGGTTCAGTTTGCGATCTCCCTTGAGTTTTGATCGAGGAGTTTGTATTGGGTAGGTAGATTTGGGGTTTTACAATCAGTTAATCGAAATATCGAATTTGAAATTACTGAAATTCTGGGAATATTGGGGATTTGTTCTAATTCATTGCTCTGAAATGTAGGGTTTTGGGGTTTTGCAGTTGCAGGAGGAGAAGATGAAAGTCAACATCTTGCGTATCCTTCTCACTGTGTTTATGTTAAAATTCTTTCTTTCAAACTACTCTAGTTTATATACCATTGGCAACTAGCTCATGTAATTTTCTATACTTTTTATACCCAGATATTAACTTTGTTGCATTTAATCATATGGTAGACTGAATTTTGGCTTGATAGTTTCGAATTCCTATGATTTTGATTTTGTTCTTTCTTTCAAATTTACTAGTTTATACCATTTAGAAATAGCTTTTGTAATGCTCTTTTTTTTCCCGTCTTCAACCCGTTGCATCTAATCGTGGTGGAGAGAATTTCAGCTTGACGGTATTGAATTTCTATGGTTTGTCTCCTCTGGAAGTATGAATAATGAGCTGTAGAGTTTTACTACCTTAATTGTAGTCTAATGTTACGAATGGCGATCACAAGATCAATATCTGTTATGTTACTCATGAATCTCTAGCATATGCTCCCCCTGTTTATGATTCAGTGCGATCATCTTTTTAACAACGATCGTGATAATTTGACAATCCCATTTGCTCAGTGATCTTGGTTTAGGTTGAAACATCTTTGATGGGAAATGGACGTATTATGCATTTTATCGTAACTATTTTCTCTTGACCCTTCTCTCTTTGCGAATATCTGCTGGGGATTTTAAACAGAGTATGTCCTTTTTACCTCTTTTCTATCTTTTATGTTCATTAATCAATTGGAAATAATCAATTGCTGCATGTGTGAATGTGTCTAAGTGTAAATTTCATGTGCCCTTTTTTTTTCTGGCATATGTTCTATTTCATCTACTTTGGAGCTCTAACTTTTATCCCTTTGGACTTGCAGGTGGCACGCTGTCGCTTCATGGACATGGGATGCACAAGACGAAACATGTGGGATTTGTAGGATGGCATTTGATGGTTGTTGTCTTGATTGTAAACTCCCTGGGGATGATTGCCCGCTAAGTAAGTCGCTAGAAATTTGATGTTACCCATTTGTTTTCAATTTATCCGCTATTTTTCCCGATTGTCCTGATTGTAAACTCCATGGGATGCACAAGACAAAACATGCTACCCATTTGTTTCCAATTTATCTGCTATTTTTCCTTTTATGAATTGATTGATAAGTTTTTGTAAGTTGAAGTGATTTTTTTCTTCATTCCCTGCTTTCGTTTTGCTAGAAATTTGATGTTATCATATTTTGGGATGGGTTAATTGGTATCTTGTGGGTAAGTTTGTGAAGAAGGATTTGTGTGCATCTACACTGTTTGATGAAATAGCTAAGAGACAAAGTGAGGATGCTTCAGGAAACCTCTTCGATCGAATGACCCCTTTTTTTCATAACATGGCTGTAATGCTCTCATTTTTGCATAACTAGGGGTGAATTATGGAATGGATGGGATCCGGGAGGCTAAAATTCTAGGGGTGCTACTCTGTTCCAAGCACCAGGAGAACTGTTGTGACATGTACCCTCCATTTTTTATCCCACAGCTGCACTTCATCAATCATGTAGTGCATTTTTCTTGTCTACTACAAGTGATGCAATATGAGAAAGCTACTGTTATCCGTGAAAGTGTTTTTGATACTGCAGGAAGGTCAGAAGAACAAGCTCTTCAAGTCACGAAGGTATTTTCTTTGGCCCTGGACGGATGTGTCTTGAGGTATCTTAAGCTTTCAGACAAAGCCATGGGCGAAAAGGGTGTCAATGCATTTGGGTCACTTCTGAGATCACAAAACACTTTGGAAGAGCCTTATTTGATGAATGTGGCAGGGCTCAATATGTATCACAACATGAGGGAGTGGCACCGCGATGTCATTAAGAAGATCAAACGGCTGAATGAAACCTATGCCTTGCAGACAAGACCTATGCCACAAAGACTGATGCACTACGAACTCTCAGGTGGTAAGCTTGAGCACTGTGTCTTCTAGGAGGCCTGTGATCCTTGCGGACGAGACCTATGCCACCAAGACTGATGCACTGGAAGCTGTTATGCATGCACCTGTCCATTTTCAAGGATATCCGACTTTTGTGTGCAATCGGTATCAATTGCTCATATTGGTTGTAATGTATACTGCTGATGAAGATTTGGAGTCTGTAACCAATGTTCAATAAGTCTTATACAAGGCTCATTCATCTTCTAAACTGCAAATTTGGTTCTATTTGCCTATCAATTTGAGTCGTTGAAAGTTTTTGCTTCAATAGAGTTCATTTTTTTGTATAATATTGGTTTAATTCTTGTTAATCGTACAATATTAGTTCGTGGTTGAAAGAAATTAAAATTGAACAATAATTTGCAAACACCAAACTGTGGACCATACTATTTTCACTATCGGCTTCTTAGTCTGACACTGCATCAAACGCTTCACTAAATCAGTCCAGCTTAATCTAGTCTAAGCCAGTCCAGGTTAGTTTCTGAAGCTAGTCTAGTCCGAAATAGTCTGGTACAACAAACGCATCCTTATATTACAAACAAGTTGGATAAATTGGGAAAGCAAACTGTATAATCTTTGCCATTATAATTTAATGATGTAAAAAAAAAAAAGAAAAAAACAAGAAAATCCCACACTAAATTCCAATATTACAAATCATACGAGTCTATATATATATACATATTATTTTTTTTACTCTTTTTTTACCCTATTTACCTCGACTTGATGGCATGTAAATCTCTATGATCTTCCATTGGTTGCCAATGGTTTGACACCATTTTCATCAGCCATGGCCATCTCTCCCTCAGCCGCTTCTGTTTTCTCTCTGAACTTCTTGTATATGTCACTTTGGTAAAACTTTCTCGTTCTCATCACCAAAATCAGCGACACAAATGTGCCAAATAATGTAACTGCTGCAATCACGATGAAGGACAATTTGAAGCACTCTCCCCCAACGCAAGTCAACTCCTCACCTGCTTCTCTCACAAGCCCTTTTGCTGCAAGCTGCTTATTGGCTTCTTTGTCATATATGTGCCCGGCGAGTCTCACATTGAGCAAGTATAGTCCAACCGGGCTAGCGCATGCCCCAAAATTGAACAAAGTCGAGTAGTATTTGAGGCCGAAAAGCTCAGAAATTATGGCGAAAAGTAGAGGCCACAGAGCACCTAAACAAAACCCTATTATCACGGAGGCTACGTAGAGACCATTTTTGACATTCAAGGCAATTAGAAGGTGGCCAGCACAAGAGAGCAAGAGGGTTAGGGTTAGCATTAGAGGACGAGGGAATTTGTATCTTTTTAACAAGATTTCAGAGCCGAAACCCGACACCACCCGACCCAAATAATTCCATATGCTTACTAGTGACACGAAAGTGCTTATGCTGTGTTTAGGGTACCCTAAAGAAGCTCCAATCTGACCCAAGTTGTCTATTGCTGTAAATGCGCCTCCAACACCACAAATGCATGCTACGAAAAGAATAAGCATGTCAATGCTGAAAAGTGCTTGGAGTATGGTGTAGTCCTCACCTCTATCTGGTGGCCTAAACATAGTTTTCCAGCATGACGGTTCAGTCCCTGTGGTAGTGGTGGTGAGCGCTTCCTTGGACCGTGACAGATCAGATGTAACGCTAACTTCTTCTGATTTTGGCTTTTCAGTAACTATTTTCAAGTCCGAACCGCCATTCAACCCGAGTTTCTTGCCTTCCAAGATCTTGAATTCCTCAAAAATAACCACAGCAAGTGGGAGGACAAGCAAGAAAATAACCATGGCAGCACTAGCACCGTACTCACCTTGAGTGAAATGAACATTCTTCTGGATTATAATCATAACCATTAAAAATCCAGCAAGCCCAAGTGAGATATAAAGCATATTATAAAACACTTTGAGCTCATTGGGATGCTTAATGACCTTCATAATCCGAATTGTTCTAAGAGAAACAAAAGAAACGGCAGTAGGAAGCCACCCAATCAACAAAATCAAATCCTTGGTGTCGTCATAATAAAAAGCAGAGTATAACTGTGTGAATATAGCACCACTTAGGCCAGCATATCCCTTCAAGAACCCCAAAACGGAGCCGCGGCTCTCCGGGAAGTTCTTGACACTTGTGATAAGTGATCCAGTATTGGCAAAAGACTGAGAAGTTGCACCCATACAAATGTACATGCACATGTGCCAAACTTGAGGCTTAGCAATTTTTTTGGTCACGGCCATCCAAATCATGAAGTAACCAAAAAAATTGAGGATTCCACCCACTGATAGGACCACCCATGGGGGTGTGACCTCGTTAATCAGACCAGAAAGGACACCAACATTGGACCCGAAGTCCTTGAACAAGCTGAGAAGATTGAGGGTACTTTGGTCATATCCCAGCACGGATTTGATGTCACTGGAGTAAAGACCAAACATGTAGGTGGCGCCAGAGGCTGACATGATTAAGAGGGAAGCAAACACCGTGAACCACCGCCCATTAAGGACTTGGAGGGTTAGGGTTTTGGTGTTACTCCACTCCCATCCTCCACCAGGTCCAGAAATCAACATGGTTTTTTAATCCCTCTGAACTGCACCAGCAGTCTCTCACAAGTTTGTTGTAGTGAAGAAGTTGGTGGATCGGAGGTTTCAATAGATGGATGCAAAGGGAGTGTGTGAGAGCAATTAAAAAATGAAAAACAAAAGTAGAGTAGTGACAACAAACACTTATTTGACCTAGAATAAAATAATTTCAAGTAAATGAGGAGTGAATTGCAAATTTGGAAAGAAAATAGTAAGAGGGGTATGCAAGGTGAAGATGTCATGAGTAACTAGGGGAATGAACTCATCCCTGTAATAGGGGTATGTAAGTATTATCCTATTATTATGTTATTTAAATTACAATACATATATGTGTTTTGTCTGGTATAATTCTAAAATGAAACATATCAACTTTACCGTTCACAGAAAAACATAAATTTTCTTGTTCAAGATAGGAAAGAGAGGAACCCTCTTATAAATTTGGTCTTATCAATAAGAAAGAATTGTCAAAATGGTATTGGAGTTGGTTGATTTTGCCTCTCTGTTTAATTTTTTTTAATCACATGTTGCTTGTCTGTACCCTAATGTTGTCAAGCTAAAAAATTTCCCCAGTTCCTTCTTGTATTTAGCACAAGGGTCGGCCAAATGAACAAAGTACATACATGTAATTTTATCGGTTTTTTAGCCAAAACGGTCTCTACTGAATTTGGCTTAACTCTTTATTCCTGACTAGAAAACCAACAAAAATGGTTTACGATTTGCACACCTTAGACATTTTGATCATTCCGTGATATGTCAATATCTAACAATATATGTTAAAAGAAAAAATCACCATAACATATTCATTACCTTAACGAATTATATTATTCCAAATGAACTACCAATGATTGATGACACAGTAATTAAGAAACTTAATCACTATATGCTGGACATAATCCAATATATAATCTTGATAGATTGGATTCTTACTCTTGTACGATTACTATTCAAAGTTGCTAGAGGCCCAGGCTGACAATATCTGCTTACTTCTAATGATATTCTAATTTATCAAATTGATCGATTTTGAATAAAATTAAGGGAGAAAGGTACATATACAAATACTGCTAAGCAAAAGATTTGGAAGGTGACTTGTATATACGGCTGATATTCTTTAAAAATAGTCATTGTATCCAATTCCACCAACAACGCTTGGCATGAGCATTCACTTAAAGATTTAATAAAAAGATGTATGTTATATACTTTTTGGATATAACGAAAGAGTTCGACTCTTACTCTTTGTATCAGAACTTTGGCCGCCTTCAACATACACTTTTTGGATATAACGAAAGAGTTCGACTCTTACTCTTTGTATCAGAACTTTGGCCGCCTTCATATTGAGAATAAAAAAGTTTGTAGGATAGGGACAACAGGAAAATTCAATTGATGTATGTCCGTCATCAAGCTCTTACATTCAACATAAATACAAGTAGAAGATTCATACACATGAAAGTTACAAGAACTAAATTAGAATTGCATGCTTTGCAATAAGGTATAGGTCAATCATCAATGTCGCTATAGCTACATATCTCTACTTTCTGAGAAGGATTTATGTGACACAAGCACACCGTTACTGTGGCTTTCCGTGCCAATAAAATAAAGATATGTATAAATTTTTCGTTCACATGCTCTTATTATAATGCATAGTGTACTCTTATCATGTAAGTTGTTCTTCTAGTATTCATCTCTTTCATGCCAGCAAAAGTAGCAACCAAACACACACACATGTGCTGATATCTTAGTCCATGCGTTTACACATTTGAGAGAGAAATAAGAGAGAAAACTATTACCTACATGCCGATATTCTAAACTCCTCTAATTTATCACATCTTAATTAATTACATCACATAACATATATAACATAATATTATTATTACTAGAAGCTGCCTCTTGACTTTGGGGTTGGTGCTATTGCTATACATCAAGATCCTAAAATTTATGAGTTTGTCCATTGTTAGACAAAATTTCTCAATTACTTTGCTACTTCGTGCCCTACTCACAGTGGGAAACTTAGTCCCTTAAAGTATAAGGGACTTAGATTGTAAGGTACATGCAGGCACGACCTTAGTCAAGTAATAGGAAAATCCTCTGCCTTAAATTTGAATTTTCATTCCCGTAGTTTGGGTAAATTTAGTGGTAGATTGCCTCGTTCGGTATAGAAAATTTGATTGGAATGAATAGAGATATTCAAGGAAGAGAAAATTTGATTTTTCATTTTGAGTGAATTAGAACGGGTTCGACATGCAAAAAAAAAAAAAAAAAAAAATCTCTATTCTAATCTTCCATTTTGGAAAAGATTGGAATTGATAAATTGTCTTCTTGGGTGGCAAGAAGGACCGGAATGCCCATAGCTTATGAAATTCAGATGATTGGATTAGTCAGGCTTCCTAATCATAGTCGGAGTAAGCCATTCCAACATGCTGACTAGTCAGGCATTTGGCAAACTGTATTACTTCTCCCAAGTAATTAAACCCTATAAATTAGAATATCTTGGGAATTAGGCAACGTAATCATAATCCTAGGAGGATTAGATATCTTATCCTAAATTTCCTCCTAGATAGTCTCCCGATTTAATCAGGATTACTCTCCCTACAAGGACTTTGAAGATCTCTTTAAATACCCTAGCTTGGGCATTTATCTCTCTAATCAATATGTCTCTCTCATATTCTCTCCACACCTAAAATAGGCTCATCTCCCTCCAAACACAATGATGGACCTATGTGCATAGAGAACTCATCTCCTATACGCCTATACAATGATGGTTCAAGATGCGCACTCATCAAATCATTCTTTCTTAGAACTACACTAATGATTTTATTCTCCTTCCCAGAGATATATAGGTTCAATTCAGATTCAACACACCCCCCAATCAACCCCATTCTCTCTTAGTCGGAGATCATTGACTATTCCGACTGAATCACACCTCCGTCCTCGAATTTGGTTGAGATGAAAAAAAAAATTACACCTTTAATTGTAAATATTACCATAAGATTCAAACAAATGTTGACGTCCGCAGGATTAAATATTCAAAACAGAAGCATATGGTATGGAACTCAACAAGAAATAGGAGAGAGACGGAAGGCAAAACCATGTCAATTTGTGCAATAAAAGAGTTCTTGGTGTGTACACCAAAAAAAAAAAGAAGAGTTCTTGGTGTTTAATAGATATCTAGTGCCGATTTTCCTGAAAATGACCTCATTTTCTTTTTATGTTAATTCTTTTGGTTCTCAGCCAATCAGAAAGACGGGGGTTGAGAGTGTACTAAATATAATTGAAAGGTATAGGCTTTTTGACTTTTTAACGAAACAACGATTTTTTAGATTGATATACCCCTTCACTTTTATTTTGATCATTCTGTGAATAATCTTTGTATAATAAGAACTAAAATAACAAAAATATCCTTAATTTAATAAACAATGAGATTTGACAAAAAGTAAGGTATTTTTATTTAACAGAGTTTTTCCACGAAAGAACTAAAATGATTGACGATGAACAAAATTAAGGCCAGTAAAAACCCAAATGGAAAATACTGAATTAAAATGCATATCATCCATCAATCCTACATTAAAATTGCAATCTGAACATCCCACATCAAGAACCTAAAAGATTATAAGCTAAAACAGCTACAAGTCTCATGAAAACAGCCGAATCACCCAACAGCAACATTTAGTAACGGTCAAAGGAAGATGGGCGGCCTCCCCTGCTAGGGCGGTCATAAGGACCAGGCCTGCTTCTGTAATTATCGCCTCTAGCTGGCCCTCCGCTTGCATACCTGTCGCCTCCTCTTGCGCCACCATCCCTATCATACCCTCTATCTTTGCCATAACCATTTTGAGGATAACGATCAGAACCACCGTACCTGTCACTTGCAAAACGATCACCGGCTGGGTACCTGCAAGGAAAAGTGGCGAAAGTTGAGTAAAAGGGATTTTGTTTACTACTATTCAGAGCAATCACAAGTGAGAAAAAGGAACAAGCGGTTAAGCACTACTCATACCTGTCGCTAGCATAGCGATCACGGCTACCATATTTGTCATCTCTGCTGTCAAAACGGTCCCTCTCTCCATAGCGCCCTCCATCATAACGGTCATCCATGTAGCGGTCACGGTCTCCACCAAAGCGATCCCCACGGCCACCAGCCCCAAACCTAGAATGTGATGAGAACGAACCTCCACCGCCTCTTCCGCCTCCTGCTGAAGGGCAATCTCGAGCCCAATGTCCTGGTCGACCACACTTGAAGCATTCATCTTGTCCTACAGGTCTATCTCCTCCCCCATAGTTTCTCCTGCCACCAGATGAGTAGCCACCTCCTCTGTAGCCATGGTCAGAATCCTCTCCAGCTCCTCCCCCTCCCATTTTGGGTTGAGCTTTGTTCACAGAGATTATGCGATCACTCAGCTCCCGCCCATGCATCTCCCGGATTGCGTCTTCCATTGCTCGCCGATCTCCAAATGTAATAAACCCAAACCTCGGGGACGGTTTGTCTCTCGTTCCATCATGATCTATAAAAGTACCACATTAGCCATTTCATATAAATGAAATTCATCCATTTTAACCAAAAGTGAGACAGTAATCTATCAACTACTCCCAGGAGTCCACAACGAGAAACTAAAAGCAACTTGCATCACCCAGCCAGAGTTCAATTGCTGAGAAGCTGGAAGAAGAATTAATAGACAGGGAACACACAGTACGAACGCAAAATTTAAGAATGAGATATGGATTAGCAATATATATTAGCACGCATCCTAACTGGTAATTAAAATTTAACAAGTTGATAACTTACTTTCTCCTTGTTATTATGGATAACAGATTGAACCGTGTTTCAATGTGAAAAAAATTCTGATAAATACAGAGGAATCCATCACTTCTGATCTTGACTTCCCACAAAATCCAATAAATTAGATCCAGCATAAACTGATACCTAGCCCACCACAAAGTCAAATGTATCTACTCTCAAACAGAAACATTCAAGTTGAATTGGCCATCAGTGCTAGCAGTATATCTGTGATAAGGTTAACTTCTCAATGATCTTTAATCCCAACATAAGACTGCCAGAAATTAGGATAACACCGCAGACACCAGGCAAGCATCCATCTTGTATTCGCGAAAACAATGTTCCCCCAAACAAAGCTATGCAGATCACTTAGACAAAGGCAGCAATCACAATGTTTGATCTTTCCACTATTCAAAACAAACCACATAGAGCACAAAAAGATACCTCAAAAACTGTGTTCATTTTGCAGACTATGCCCGACTCGATCCATATCACTCGTTCTCATAGCGTTTCATTAATTTCGTAAAAAACACAAAAATCAGTCAAAGACAGCAAAGGTGCTCCATCCAATTATCAGCTCAAAATAGCAGAACTGATGACAATGCTGATTATCCCATTCAACCAGAAAACTTAGACCTACTAAACTCATAAAAGATACCCTAGAGCCATGGAGATCCATGTTCTGACAACCTTTTTTGATAGAAGACGTTCGGACAACCTTTGCTGATAGAAGATATTCCGACAACTTTTAAGTACTTGCAATTATCATACGATCGCCTATTAAAAACTTGCCACCACAGTTCCCAAAGATGAAATGCCAATGGGTAGGAGGAAAGAGAGAAAAAGAAAGGTGTGCCCATGCCTACTCCATATACCCTGACTACAAACTTGAACAGGTTCAGGAGTTTCAGATTCCAAGGTAGCCAAAAGTACTACTCCACCAAAGTTATCAAATCTTAAATCAATACTCGAACTGCTGATGAACTGGCAGCATCGATATCTGGTGAGTGTTGATGTTGCTGAATTCATCTTGCCCATGCAAACCCAAATGTACTGAGCCTCAATTAAACACTGTTTCCGAAACTGCAAAGACGCTACTGATCCTGATGATGTCTCATAAGATCCACAGAATGGATTGCATGAATGTGCCCGCAAGTGATGTGACCAGACTGAAAGTGTGGACTATGTAAATGACTCTACCAGGTAGATGGTTGAGTTCATAATGCACTAGATAAACATATTGACCCACAAAAACATGACAATGAAATTGATCATAATCTCTTGTCCCCGCAAAAGAAAAATAATAATAAAGTTCTATAAAAAAGTTTCGAACTAGTTCAAACAAAATTCAACTCACAAGGCTGAAAAGAAGGCTCAGACTTCATGAGCACTCCACAATAGCTGATGAGAGGACCCCATTGCCAGAAAAACGCAGTTTAGAGTGATTAACTCAGACTAACTGTATCAAACATAAAGTAACTAAGCTTGATACTTCGCAGCCTCATCCAATAAAGCTCGAATTTGATATCTGGCAGACCTCCATGAGGACCATAACTAAAAGATCAGGCATCAAGAGTTTGACACATCTGAAGAACAACTAACAAGAGACAACAAAACTCTGATTTAGACAATGACTATGTCAGACTTAAGGCTGCAGAGCCACATAATCCGAACAGAATCATACTCCTACAAAAAAGATAAATTTCTCAAAGTTTCCATATCTTGTGAATTGATGATTAGTGGGCCCACCCTCAAAGCCTTACTTATATTCCGAATTTCCAAGACTATCACAACCACAAATCTTCTCATCAATAAATCTTGTGGATCCCAACCACAAATCTTTTCACCAATAAATCTTTGTTCCTATACAGCAGATGAGACCAAGCAAGCAATTTACTGGGCTGCCTTGAACTCAATTCCACGCATCCAGATACCATCTGTTTGTGTTATACTTCTTGCCTTGATATTTATTCTAACCATCAGCTATAACTAGTCCCAACAAATCTTATCAAGCTTCAGTAACTCGATGCAATCACTCAAACAAAAATATCTCTACGAAAACCCATACACGTACAGCACCAAAAGATCATAACCGTCATTCCAAAAAGACATGAAAACAAATAAGGAGAATTAATACAAAGTGAGGACAACAAAAACTATCAAAAGAAAAGGATAAAATCAAAATAAACATAAGTAACCGTAGTTACACACATAGAATTAAATATCAACGCTCCTTATAAATGTACAACCGAAGATATCCTGAGGTCAGAATGGCACAACTGACAATTAAATATCTCAGTGAGTAGTTTATTTGTTACATTCGTGTTCGCTCAGGAAGGGCACTTCATACAAAAAACAATTGGGCATAACAAGCTCATTGAACACGTGGAAAGAGCATGATCTGAAAATCGATAATCAGGATCAATCAAACAATTAATGAACATGCATTATAGCCATGTACCATCATTGTCTGAACTTCCTGCATCAAAACCAAAAGCTTCGGAGAATGTTCAACCAATTTGTACTTCAAATATCTTGGGCAGGCAGGATAAAAAATTAATTTATTGCAACAAAGATTTCGACTGTTTTCCTTCTAAACATCAACTAAATGTAAACATAGGGTCAAATTAAAGCCTGAAACTGACTGAAAATTTTGGGACTTTTTTCACCTCTTAAAACCAAAAATTCAAATATAATTCAGACCAAAAACTAAAAGGATAAGATCTTTCCAATAGTTTGCAAGCAAAGTAAAGCAGCTGAAGCCTAAAAACGCATGCCTCTTTCAATTGACACAATTAACAGGTAATAGGATTGGTAACAATTAGGGTTTACATATAATTACGCGTTGATTGGAAGATTAATCATCGAAGAACTAGCTAGGAAAAATTTGAGGGTACCTGAGCTTCAATAACTTTGCCGAAGCGTTGGAAAGCGCTCTCCAGCTGACGCTCCGTCACGTCCCACGACAACCCTCCCACGAATATACGGTAGTCTTCCTTCCTGCCATCTCTCTCCCTCAATCTCTCTCTCTCTCTCTCAATCTCTGTTGCCTGTACTGTGTGACGAGCCAAACCCTAACCGCGTCGTATTCTTGTATATCTACTTCGATTTGGCCCCTTTTCTATTTGGCTTATTTATTAGCTTAGCCGTGCTCAGATGCGCAGAAAGTATTTTTTGAATCACCAGGGTATTACGTGTAATTTATATATTTTAAATGTATTTATATGTGTAAATTAACAAAAGGAATGTCAAATATTTGAAGTAAATGAATAATTTTAGACCATGCTAGAAGAAACCCTCGTAAACCAATTAAAACAGCTGAATTCACATAATAAAATAGATTGCCATAGAATTTACATTAAGAATAGAGAAAATAATATTTAATAAATATTTGATTGAATCACATTATTGCTAACTCATTGTGAGGCTAAGCTCGCGCCTCATCCCCTTAGTGTAAATAATATCATTTGTTTATAAAATAAAATAAACAATCATTTGACAATTAATTCAATCACATTATTATCCGCGTGCAAAAACTTTTTTTATAAAGAAAATAATATTTAATAAATAACTGATTGAATCACATTATTGCTAGCAGGCTAAACCCACCCCTTTCTAGATAATATTGTTTGTTAAAATAAAATAAAAAACAATCATTTGACAACTTATTTAATCACATCATTATCCGCATGCGAAAGACCTTTTTTATAATCGGCATTACACGTCTCTTAAAATGTTTTGAACACAATATTCATGATTTTCCTAATTTTTTATTATATTTTTCTTTCCCCTTCACATGGGCACCATCGGCTTTCACTCATTCTTTTTTTTTTTATTCTTCTCTCTCCTCACTAATATTTATATTATATTTTATTATTACCAAATTACCCCTGCATTATTTGATCGATATATTGGGCTGCTTTTGGATTTTTTTTGGTTGAGGGGCAATTTAGTCCTATACTTTTGTCGAAGTCGTGGGCCCAAATTGGGGGCTCTGGCTTTATATATAAGAAATGCAAAGGGATTTTTTTTTTTTTTTTTTTATATTTTTAATGAGGACTAGGTATGGGGTTTACTCAATATCGAACTTTAACGATCCGAATTTTCTATTTTGTAAGTCTCAATTCATAGATATCTTTACAAAAATTCAACTCAATCTGAAATCATTTGCCTATTTAATTATCAAGATAAATTTTTATTCTTTCTTATATAACAAAATATTCGTTAATTTCTTTGAACTCAATTAGATGTCTTAAACATTTCCATTTTGGCTAATATTTTGGAAGGATGATCTGTGAGGTACAATTTAGAAAATAGACAATTTGAGTTGTTAAAATTCAATGTCGTGTGAATCCTACACCTAATCCTTATTTTTATAAATAAAAAAAAAAATCTCTTCCTTTAATGATTTCCTATTTATTACTATGCTCATGTACTTGGACGAAAACCTCAACTTATACCCACTTTCACGGAAAATTTTTAGGTGTACCGGGTACACCAAATTTTTTTGGTGTACCCTCACTCATTAGAATTTTTTTGGTGTACAAAAAGTGAGGGTGCACCAAATTTTTTTGGTGTACCCTCACCATTATGAGTGAGGGTACACCAAAAAAATTTGGTGTGCCGGGTACACCGAAAAATTACTCCACTTTCACCTCGCCTCATGCGTCTTCATCCCGCTTGCGTTACAAAGCCATTACTATTCACTCTTAAAAATAAGTCTTTATA